TTTCACCAAGTCCTGCTTCATTCTTTCTGTAATTTAATTTGCCCTTGTCCATGGCCACTGGTACCATATTTAAAGCTTTGATTACTTTATTTTTATATTAGATTCATAAATTTATTGAAAGAGGAAGAAAGTTTAGAGTTAACTTAGTCCAGCTCCTTTATTTTGTAGATTAAGAAATGGACACTCAGGTCAAATGACTTGCCTTAGGTCACACAACTAATAAGTAGCTGATGTTATAGTTCTCTGGTCTCAACATTTAATACTCCTTCCCAGTCTAGCATTCTTCTTAAAATTTTATTTGAAAAAAATTTTTGTCAGTTTTGCGTATCTCCATTTAAGAGTGAGCTAGCTTTAGGAGGTTGGATAAGATAAGATGACAGCACTTTTTAGCCACCCCTCCCTCTTTCCCCCTTCCCTGAAGACGACTATATTACTTAGAACTCTTTTAGCCAGTTAAAAAACACATATTTACCTCCATATGTGTGAAGAGCATACTGGAAGAGTTCATAATTACATGCATGCTTGCTGATTTTTTTAGTTTTAAGCACATCTATTGATTTCCCTTTCTGAAAAGATATGGAAGATAAGGATTAGCTTACTCTTTTTTCCCTCACTGCACCCTCTTCCCCACATTCTGTCTTCCCCATCTTTCCAAATACAGTTTTATTGCAATTTTGGTTAAATCAATATTTATCCATTATTACTTGGGATGCTATTTATAATGTCAAGTAGTAAATTATAAATACTTTTCCTAAACAACTTCTGGTATTCCTTGGAAATGTTGTGTCAACTTTTTTTTTTTTTTTAATGTACTAGTCACTAATTTAGCCTCACACTTTTCACCAGTTACATGTTCAGGTATTCCATCAGCTTTATCTTTTTGAAGAAATTTTTATCTGCTCCAGACTGGACGGCTTGTCCTCCCTGCTGGGAACACATTGTCTGCTGGGACCCTGGGAGTTCATTTTGCCTCTCTCCTTCATTGAATTTCCTGTTCCTGTTTCTCTGTTGTTTTAGTGGAGCACAGTCTCTAGTAGTTTTCTGTGAGGAAGGGGGTGTGAGAGGGTAAGTCTTTTGAGACTTTCTGTGTACTCTTGATTGATAGTTTGGCTGGGTATAGACTTCTGGGTTGGAAGTCATTTTCCTAATGTATTAGTCTGCTAATTATTCTCAGTGCCCTTTTAAATAATATCTCTTTTTTTTTAAAAATTTGATGGATACATTAACTTATCTTTCTGAGGATAATTTTTTTAATGTACTCTTTTTCTTGTATAGTCTTTACTCCATCCTGCATTTTTCTGTTTTGTTTTGCACTCTACGTTTCATGATAGAGGCTTTCCTGAGATGTTATTAGAACCCGTGGTTTTCGTTCACATTTAGAGTCGGGGTATATACACACACAACACATAGAGTTGAATCATATGAAATTGCCATTCTTTCTCAGCTTTGTTCACTATCTGTGAACATACTTAGTTCTCAGATCTTCATTTCTAAATCACACCCTCCACTAAAAGGAACCAGGGCTCCTTGGAGAAATGGGTGATTTTAGAGCTGGGGCAGAGAATGTACAAGATTAATCTAGAACATGTTGTTATGCAAGGAAATAAGGAAGTACTCAAAAAACATGGAAAGCACACAGTCCTCTGCTTGAAGGGGTTCCCACTGGCCAAATCTGGGATAACTTGAGCATCAGAATGAATGGTGATATTAATAAATAAAATAAGAATCCGTGAGTCCACACTGATAATGAATGAATGGGAAAAAGGGAACATAACCTTACTGGAATTATAATGTCAACTGATAAGTGTAGAAGGAACAGTAGATTTACAAAATAAACATCATTTTATAACTGTCAGTAACAGTTGATTAAGACAAGAATTGCCAGTGGATGCTAAAACTATTGGGTGAGTGTTTTAAGAACATAATCTCAAAATATCTTCCTACAGATTATTTACTAGTTAATTACTAAGGGGAAACTGGTTATTTTACAGTGGAGAAATGAGGCAAATATCATCTTAACCAAGTGATCAAAATCCCAATAATGGGACACACAGACATTATCTTACTACTTATGTGATACTCTGGGAAAAACAAACCTCACTTACCACTTTTGTGGTAGTACTGCCAGATACTTATACCCTATATTCTTCAAAGATGCCAGTGAAAGACAGACAATTGCTGAAGAACTGTTTCAGATGGAAACATGACATTAGGTGTGATCCATGATCTGGATTGAGGTGAAGGGGGATTGCCGTAAGGGACGAAGAGCAGTTGGCAGAATTGGAATGTGAACTGTAGAGTCTGTATGGGACAGTTAATGTGTTGCATTCCTGACTTTGTAGTTGTGGAAGAGAATACCCTTGTTGTTAGGAAATACACAGCGAGCTATTTAAAGGTAAAGGACGTGATGGCTGCAGAAGATGGATGGAAGAGCAAAAGTGACACAGTGATTAGTTGTGAACCTAGGTGAAGGCTCTGTGGGAGCTTCTTGTACTGCTCTTGCAGCTGTTCTGCAAGTTTACAATGAAGACTTTTAAAGAAAAGATTGGAGTGAGGGTGGTTGATTGGAGCCCCCATTCATGGGTGGGGGCTCAGTGGCTGTGAACCTTTCAGCAGTGTGATGAGTTGAGCTCCTTTGGTTGGGAAGTCCCCAGTGTCAGGATTTTCAGGTGTTTGTTTCTTGAGGTCAGTGATTAGAAGACACTTTCAGTTTTCATCCTGGCTGGGAATGTCAGAGCCCAATAGGAGAATCTGGCTGGGGATGGGGTGGGCAGTTGAGGGGGCCTGTCTCTGCATTCTTTCTGCAGTTCACACAGTCCCTCTGTTTTCACTGGCAGGCCCACCCTCAGCTGTGCTGGAGTCACCATCCTTTTTGGCTTCCTTCTGTCATCTGATGGGGCTGGGAAGGACAGAAGAAGGCAATGAGATTTGGGAATCTAAGTGTTCATTATATAGCTTTTTCAACTAGTATTCCTTTTGCTCCCTAATTTTGTTGGTTCTTGGGATTATGCCTTTAAAAAGCAAGACAAAACAACCAAAACAGTTCTTTTACTGTACTTTTAGAGGCATTTCAATGTGTCTTCAATATACATTCTTTACCCAGGAGTCCCAATAGTGCATTTATATACCATTTCATTCTGTTTTGTATCTTTTGATCTTGTTTCCCACATTTTCACAATTTAGAAAAAACCAATTTCTTATCATCAATAGTATAGACCCTCTCTTTCCCGTAATTAGTCTAAGGGAAAAGACTGAACAATTAAACAAAGACCTTTTTCCAGAAAAGTGGGTTATGTCTCAGCATCCTTGTTACAACTTAATAAGCACCTGGATTTGTGATGCTCTGAGCGGGTTGACAGCTGTCTTATCTTTTGGCTTCCCTGGATGGGAGTGTGCAGCACAGTGAGGCAGGCAGGTTGGTACAACTCTGCTGGGAGCCTGTGATTGACTGACTGGCTTGGAAGTGGGTGAAGTGGGTAATCTTTTTTTTTTTTTTTTTTTTTTGGCTGCATTGGGTCCTTGTTGCTGCACACGGGCTTTCTCTAGTTGCGGCGAGTGGGGGCTGCTCTTTGCTGCAGTGCGTGGGCTTCTCATTGCGGTGGCTTCTCTTGTTGCGGAGGGCGGGTTCTAAGCATGCGGGCTTCAGTAGTTGCGGCCCACAGGCTCAGTAGTTGTGGCTTGCAGGCTCAGTAGTTGTGCATGGGCTTCCTTGCTCTGCAGCATGTGGGATCTTACCCGACCAGGGCTTGAACCCATGTTGCCTGCTTTTGTAGGTGAATTCTTAACCACTGCACCACTAGGGAAATCCAGAAGTGGGTGATCTTGGCTGGTGGGAGAAAAGATTGTAGATCAGTTGAGGATCCTACAGCTACTCAGATTAAATGTCAAATGTATGTATGTGTGCGCAGGCGTGTGCATTTTGTGGAGTATATAACTTCATTGGATTTTTAAAGGGGTCTGGAACCCCCAACACAGAGTGGTTGTGATGGCACTAGAATTACCTATGACATTTAGAAATGTACTCTTTACACTAACATGCTAAGTTGGTCATGTCTAAACACTGTGGTGGCACATGATCTGTTCTTATGATTTAAAGCAAAAATTTAGGTGATCAATTAAACACTTTTTTAAGTTTTTGTTGAGAAAACATTTCACTGGCAAAATGTTTTTTAGAGTCAAATATTTTCTTCATTTTAAACTAGGTTTGTTACAGTTTTTGTTGATTCATTTTGTTTCTTTTAGCAAGTGGTTAGCATTGTTTCTATTTATTTTGAGGGAAAATGTTGAGTTGATCAGAATGTAGTGTGAATTTTGTGGAACAAAGGCATTAAATAAATGGCATTTATTTTGAGATGCCTTGTAGACTGCACCCTTATAGGATTTCTGATTGGTATATTGTCCATAGTTTGTGTCTTTTCCTGCAGTATTTAGTTATAAATGAAGTGCCTTGGAAGACAGTTTAAATTTATAGTCCTTTCATGTGAAGCATCTGGTTAATTCACATTAGAGACGGGATTCAGCTGCAGCTAGTACTTCAGTGAACTTAATGTTCTGCTCATAGTTCCTAGTAAGTTACAGTTGTTTAAAGGTATTACACGGGGCTACTTGGGGACATTTAGAGGGAGATACTTCTAAAACTTGTTTTAGTGTTGTAAAATATGGTGCCTTTGTAGTTAACCCTGTGTTGAGTAAGAATGTCATTGAGGTTTTCATAAGACAAAGATAAGCATATGTATTTTTTCTTATTTGCTCACTGATAGTGCTCTTACTGTGTATCTATTTCTGGGTTATTGTTTAGTGTAGGATAAAAGCTTAGGTAGAGGGATGACAGTGCCTTTTTTCCTCTTGTTACATAGAAAAAAATTCAATTAGCTAGTACTTTTCAATCCTCTGAGGTATAGTTGTGTGTGAATGAAGACCTTGAACCAGTATTTTTAATGGCAGCTCTCATCCGAACGAAAGAGAACACGTTGTCATTTTTGCTCTTTTTTTCTTTATAGGGGAACTTCTGTTTCATGTGCACCATCCCGCTTTATTCTGCTAATCTGCTAATGCAGTAAATTGGAAGACAACCGTTGCCAGGATAACCTGTAATGGGCAAGGAGCCACAGAAAAGAAAACATTTCTTTTAATTTTTAAACTTGGTTTGAAAGGTAAGGTCACTCAAATTATGAGGAGTTTCATGAGTTACATCAAGGAAAGCAGTTTTCTGACTTGAGACCCTGGAATCTAGGTGGACCTGGTCTGGGTCATCACTTTGAGCCAGGTACCACCTGGCTCCGTGGCGCTATGGTATTTTTAGGAAGTTAAATAACAGGCTCTGTAGTTTGCTCTGGTATGTCGTAGAATCTGCAGCACCCATGGGATTCCCAGTTTCCACAGGATGGGGGTTGGGGTGGGATTGAGCTGGGCCCTAAGGACTAGACAGGCCTAGTAAGCTGATGTAGCATGCCAGAGAAAGACTGCTAGTAGCGACCCAGCTACTGCTGCTAGGTCACCTGGCTGTGTGTGTGTGTGTGTGTGTGTGAGAGAGAGAGAGAGAGAGAGAGAGAGAGAGAGAGAGAGAGATTTGTGTTCGTTTTACACCAGCCAAAGGACATCTGGCTTCTAGCCAGCCACCTGACTCTTTTGAGTCTTAATTGCTATCATTTTGCAACTCTTTACTGAATTTTTTTGTGAAAGACCAGAGGTTTCCTTTGCATATTTGGCTTTTGAGTCAATTGGCACTTAATAGAAAGTGGCCCAGTAGGACCTTTTTGGGGCTATGCACACATACTTAATCCAATTTCATTTGTTCCATAGTAACTGGAGGAGCAGGTGGGCATAAACCATTTAATCATCTACCTTTCAGGCTTCACTGTCTCAGGAGATACTATAGTTGTTCTGTTATAACAGGTCTCTGCTTCTAATCCCCAGGCCCCAATCTTTCCTAGGCAGTAAGCCACTTCGCCTGTGCTCTCCCCCACCTCCAGTCCTTTGTGAATAACTCTTCCTCAGCATCCCCTTCTGCTTACATAGTGAAGCACCAACTCTTGTAGAAAGGTTCTGATTTGTCCAGTTTTTATCTTCATATTATTCTGTATAAATCCTGATGGGGAGAATTCCCTTTAAGTAGTCATTCACTCTGAGCACCTTGTCTCATATGGTTTTGTCTGTTTGTTTTTGCTCATGTGGCCCAGCCCTTCCTTTTCCTCTGCCTTGGGATAGGTTCTAACCCATAGGTATGAACTCTTCAGTTTCTTACCTGCCTGACTGAGTGGAGAATTCAGTTGAGGGTTCAGATATAAGAAGTCCAGTAGTATGCAGTGATAAGCTATGATCTGACTGTCAGATTCATTTATAGTTAAAACAATTATCCATTTTTCTGTTGTGATGCTGGATTTCAAAAACTAATTTTTTTTTTTTTTTGCGGTACGCGGGCCTTTCACTGTTGTGGCCTCTCCCGTTGCAGAGCACAGGCTCTGGACGCGCAGGCTCAGCAGCCATGGCTCACGGCCCCAGCCGCTCCGCGGCATGTGGGACCTTCCCGGACCGGGGCACGAACCCGTATCCTCCGCATCGGCACGCGGACTCTCAAGCACTGCGCCACCAGGGAAGCCCGGCTTCTTTAACTTATTAACAGGCGACCTTAGAAACCAGCTTTGATTGAAGCTTTGTTTTCATTTTTTTATTTTTGTGAAGAAGTTCTCCTGTAATAAGATACTCCATTTAACATTTTCTGACTTTTCTGACTGTTCCTTTCTTGTGAGTTGGGAATACTGTGATGACCGCTTAGTCTGGTAATGTCAGCATATAGTGTATTGTAGCACAGGGATGGTATGATTGCATAATAAACAGTGCTTTGCCATCTAATTTCATAACAAAATAGTTCACATCCCATTTGTACCTTAAAAACACAACATTTGAAGTCCAGATTTTCTTTTCTTGTTTTGACATGTTGGGTGTGCACTTATAATAATAAAATGTTGCAGTACAGCATATGGCACTCTGAGCACTGTTGAGTTATACCCGTGTCACTGCGATTTGGAGAGCGCCCAGCTGCAGTGCAAAGTGATAGCACCGTATGTGGTCTCTTGTGACACCTGCTCAACTCTGCCCTGGTAGTGTAAAAGCAGCCAGAGACAGAATGTAAAGGATGGTGTGACTGTGTTCTGTTAAAACTTTATGGCCACTGAAATTTGAATTTCGTAGAATTTATACAAGTCACGAAATATCGTCCTTTTGATACTCCCCCACCCCCACCCCCAAAGAGTTAAAAAGGTAAAAACCATTCTTCGCTCAGGGCCTGTATTTATAAAAAAGGTGGCAGACCAGATTGGGCAATCTCAGTATGGTACCCCCAGGTATCCTAGGTCTCTGGAGTTGCTTCACACACTCATGGCAGAAAAAATGGGGTGGGAAAGGACCTAAACTGAAAAGGTACCATTGTGGTTTTTGCTGTTGGTTGGATTTTTCTATTTCTTTGTTTTTTTGTACGTAGGAATCTTAAGTGCATGTAGTCACCTCAGAGTCTTTCTGTTAGATAGTCTTTTATAATACCCTGATTTTAGATTGTGCTTATATTTATAGAGCCTGTCCTAAATGCCAGGGATTGTGCTGCTTTATATTTTCTTTCTTTTCATAATTTTTTATTTTATCATACATAGGTACATAGCTTACATAGGTGCATAGTTTAAAAAGTCAAATGGTATCACAAGATTTATAACAAAAAATAACAATCATCTATTTCATCTTTCCCATCCTATCCCCTCCTCATCCCAGCCCTTAGTGAGTAAGTGAGTTACTTACTCACTAGGAGCTGCTACCTCCATCTCTTAGCTGTTTACTCATCTTTATTACTTCCTTATGCATTTCTAAATTATATACCTGTAGGTAGCAGTTTCTAATCTGTCTTACTTCTAATTATGAAGGTTAAGGTTTAGCTCTTATAGGCATAGCTCTTTCCCTCTCACATCTCCCAACATAGTTAAAGCACAACTTTGGTTAATATCAGTAATAAAAGTATGTATATTTTGGTTAATTAATCCCTAAATCTCTGACTTAATTTGCAGAATCCTTCTCAACACGGTAACATACATCTGGTAATACACTTCCTTGGACATATCCTTTCCAGAGCCCTCTGCCTCATGGTTTACTCCAAACTGGTTCCTCTTGACTTCGTCTGTAGCTGCAGGTGTCCCCCCTTCTGGGAGTCATCTTTGCTTCTCTGTGTGTTGGATCCCTGGTCTCATGGATTCCGTGTCTTCCTCTCATGGCTTACTGCCATGCTTTAGTGAAGCCCATTCTCCATCCAGTAGCTTCCTCAAGAAACTGTGAATAAATCTTTCAGACCTTCCAGGTCTAAAAATGTTCTTTTCTAGAATTGCTATTGAGGAAGCTGATGTCATTCTGATTTCCAGTCCTTTTATAAGTTTTTCCTCACTAGAAGAGTTTAGATACACTTTTTTTTTTTTTAATCTCCGATACCACGGGCTTTCACACTGTGTCTTAAAGGATCTTTTACCACTCAACGTGGTGCCACATGTAGGTCTTAGGGGGAGAGTCACTTCTTTATGCTCTGAGAAAAAACATTTTTTTGACAAGGGAGATCAGTGGTGAATTATAATATGTTCTAAAACTTTTGTTACTTGGATGTTGGACTTTCGGAATTGTTTCTCCATTTTCTGTCTTTCATAAATTTGTTGGCATTCTCCTTGGCTGTTGTTTCCTTTTCTTTGTCCTTTATTGTTGTTTTTCTAGAGCTTCCAGAAGGGCAGAGAATTGTGTAGGTTTCAACCCACTAAGCATCTGGAAGGTTGCAGAATCCTTTGCTATTTTCTTGTTGAGACTCCATGTCAGCCCAAATGTAGCCATGCCTTTTATATCACATAGACTTTGAGAAGAAATTCATAAAACAGTGTGGTGATCATTTAATATAGTCTTCCTGTCCAGAACGGGAAGTTGTCTGTCGTTGCCCTCATAGAGAATCATCCAGGCTTCCAGAGGACCTCCAGCCTTGGGGTCTTGAAGGTGTTGGTGTTCCTAACCTTTAGCAAGTTCCTGCATCTTCTGCTCACAGATAGGACGGATAATCTGTCCTTTTCACTCACTGGCTCTCATTTTCTCCCTTGGGCACTGTCCGTGATAGTATAAAAGAGCTTCGAGATATTCAAAGCTAGTTATTTTTTCCTCCAAGTGGCAAGTCCTTCTGTCACCCTGGTCCTCTTTGGGTGCCATGTGGTTGGCAGTCTCTTCATCTGCCCCAGAACAGGATATGATATTGCTTGGCATGAGCTGATCTGCCCAGGGAAGGCTTCAATAGAGTTAGTATCTCCCGTGGTCCTAGATGCAGTTGATCTATGACACATTCTGAGGGTTACTTGCTTATTAGTCACAGCATAATACAACTTTATGTCAAACTTATAAGTAACTAAAATCTTTGGACTTGTTTCTTTCTTTAACAGTTTTCTTAGGCCTAGCAACCTCTACCCCCCACCCCATGTCATGCTTTTCAGTTTTTATTTTAAAAGGACTTTACATTTAACCATGTTAAGTAAATTTCTCTTGGTTTCATCATGTCAGACAGCTTTTAAATGCTGATTCACTCGTGTTTTCTGTGCATTTGGACAAACCTGTGGCATTCTGGTCAGTCAGCTCTGATAGCACCACTGGCCACAAGAGCTGAGCTCCTCCAGTGTCACCACCTACGCTCTTTGGGCTGAGCTCCCAGCCGGCTTGTCTGTCAAGTGATTCTTTTCCCTGCCCATGAAGACATGGGATTCCCGTCCATGAGTGTATCCCAAGAGCCATTAGATGGCAGGTTAGCCTGCTGCTGTTTCCCTTCTGCAGGCTGGCCTGGGGCTGGCTTGTGCTCTCGATGACTGCTGCTGGGACCGGTCGCTCACCGGGTGTTCCATGCTGGTCCTTTGGCCGTGTGCCGTGATGGGAAGAGCACAGACTTGGGAGCACAATGGGCCTGGGCTTGAGTCCCAGCTCTGGCCAGCTTATTCACTAGCTGTGGTCTTTGGTAGATCATCTCACCTCTTAGAATCTTAGTTTTTCCATCTGCAAATGAGAGCGAAGCCTTGAAGAGTTGTTGTGAGGTACAGATAATGTATCTAAAAGCATCAAGTCCAGAGTCTGGCATATGGTAGGCACTTAATAATTGTGAGCTGCTATTAGTCATTTTTCCTCCTTTAATAGAAAGTTGCCGTATCAGACCATTTACTGTTATTGTGGAATAGCTAGAAGAGATTAAGGGGCTATAAAGACTGTAAGCAGTGTTCACGTCTCATGTTCTACACTGAGCTTGTATTCCTGAGCAGAGTCTCAGCAGTCCAGGAGTCTGCTTTGCTGGTAAAATATTCATGACGGAAAGCACTTCCTAGAAGTTAACAAGTTATTACTGCTAGTCTAGGGACTGTTGAGATAGCCCTAAATGCTTTATGATTATACACATTATTTATGTCTTATGTATGTATGGCTGCCGTGGGTCTTCGTTACTGCACGTGGGCTTTCTCTGGTTGCAGCGAGCAGGGGTTACTTTTCGTTGCGGTGCGCGGCCTTCTCATTGTGGTGGCTTCTCGTTGTGGAGCACAGGCTCTAGGTGTGCAGGCTCGGTAGCTGTGGCTCGCAGGTTCTAGAGCGCAGGCTCAGTAGTTGTGGCACACGGACTTAGTTGCTCCGTGTCATGTGGGATCTTCCTGGACCAGGGCTTGAACCCATGTCCCCTGCATTGGTAGGTGGATTCTTAACCACTGCACCACCAGGGAAGTCCTGATTATACACATTCTGATTAAAGTTTGCTGGGCAAGGAAGATCGAAGGTTAAAAAAAATGGGGGTGGGGACCTTTAAAATTTGTGACCAATTTGCCATGTCTGTCTCTGTTACAGAGTTGCTTGTAACTCCAAATTAACCAGGGTAGTTAGCTCGTTCTTAAACTGAAGCTTGTTTCTTTTTTGGCCTTTTTTCAATGGCATCTCAGTATGCTCTAGAATTTCTGATTTGGAAAGGCTGTTCTCTTTGGGCATCTTGTCTGTAATGGACATATGAATAAAAAAGTAGCCACTGTCACTTGATTCAAGTTGGATGACTCACAAACTGCATATAACTGATTTCACTTAGTAAAAACATGGGCGAGTTGGATTTTCCAAGGCTTTCCCCTGCACTGTGTTAGTATAGAGTTCTCTTTCTAGCTCTGCTGTTTTCATACTGTTCCTGACTTGCTTAGGACCAATCTTCCTCCCTACAGTTTTATTTATTGTATTTACTTTTTGGCCACGCCGCACAGCTTGCAGGATCTTAGTTCCCTGACCAGGGATTGAACCTGGGCGCGAGCAGCAAAAGTGATGCGTCCTAACCACTGGACCACCAGGGAATTCCCATCCCTACAGTTTTAGATTAGGAACTCTTTTGGGTTATTTCAGGTGACAGGTGTTCTAATCGCATCACGTTTCCTCTGGCTCTCCAGTTACATGTCACTTCTTTCTGATATTTCAGATTTGTTGACAGCTCTGCCTGGTTTCAGAGATTCAGAGAATTCTGGATGCTTGAGATGGAAAACCCTCTACTTAGAATTTCCTTATTTGTGCAGGCACACACGCACACACACACACAGAATAGACACCTAGATCCAGCTAGGTTTTCCTTGCCTTTATTGCTTTGATCTCTAACAAGGCTCCTGGCAAAAACCTGATTGCCATTGTGTCATCCTCATTACTTGTCTTTTTTCTTTCCAACCCCTTAGTCTCACTTTAAAAAAAAAACTTGTTCTTAGTATAAATAAGTCATGCTTTGCATATACTCATATTGAAGTTGTGGAAATTATGCACAGAAATTCATGTCCACTTGCATTTTCATAATGAGAACTTGTAGAAGGACACATCACTGTACTTTAGTGTGGACTCCATGACAAAAGTGAGGCTGGACTTTTCTTGATTGGCAGTTGGCTGTTTAAATATAAAAGTGAAGTGGGCGATTAAGATCACACCTCTTGCCTGTCCACAGCATCTTAGAGGTGTATTTGGAGTTAGCCCCAGGGTGTGGATAGGCATTTGTTTTCTGAGGATCGTGTGTTTCCCAGGTAGCTCAGAATTCCAAGGGCAATCTATAAATTTGTATCATCTGATACCTAAGTGCAGCTAGGAATGAAGAAAACATGAGAATTAGGCTTTGAGGAATTATGGGTGAAACTGGAGGGGGGATAATAATTTAATGTGAAATTTCTTAGGGAATAACTTGGTTTTCAAAGTAGAGGCTGTTGTAGGGCCTCGCCATCCTCTGCGAGTTCTTAAAACGGTCTCTGGGTCACCGCTCTTTATCTAGGCTCACCCCTGTCCAGTCCATCTTTCACATTGACAGCATTTAAACTCTAGATCTCATCTTGTTGCTCGTTTGCCTTGTCTCACCTGACCTCAGTGTCCCACCTCAGTGGTCTTGTCTTCAGCACTCCCTTCCCTATCCCACATTTTAGTCATATTCAAACACATGGCCGTTCTGGGAACAGGTTAGACCTCTTCCCCTCTCCGCCTTTGTGGGAGTACAGCGTCTGTTGAAAATGTACTTGCCACAGCTTAAATTTCGTCTCCTCTGTGTCATTTTCCTCTACTTTTCTTGAGTCATTTGTTTCTGTATACTGTGTTAATCTTTGCTATAGCTATTTTAATGTGCATTTATCTCAGTTAGAACGGACTGGCTCCCTCCCTCGCTTCTGCAGCAAGCCTGCCCGGCTCTGCTGTGCATTCGTGCATGGCTCTTTGAGATCTGGCTTTGCGTTGCCTAACCTTTCCTAGTGCCTTCTGAAAGTCTCTCCTTGTCATCAGGACTTTCTCCCTGCTGTGAATTTCTTGAAGCTCCAGGGTCTATCCTCCATGCTTGTAGGATCACCTACTGAGCCCTACCTGTCTTTTGAGGCCCAGCTTAGGCCTCATTTATAGCAAAGTCTTTTCTGTCCAGGCTCCCCTCCCTTGAGCTCCCTTTCTACAGAACAAGCTTGGAGTTTATGCCATTTATTTTCTGTATTTTCTCTGTTCTCAGTTTTATTATATTCTTCAAGGAAGTAGGCACCGTTATCATATTACTCCTGCATTCCCCAATACAGTGCAAATTAGTGCTTTAAAAGTACCTGTTACGGCTTCCCTGGTGGCGCAGTGGTTGAGAGTCCGCCTGCCGATGCAGGGGACACGGGTTCGTGCCCCGGTCTGGGAAGATCCCACGTGCCGTGGAGCGGCTGGGCCTGTGAGCCATGGCCGCTGAGCCTGCGCTTCCGGAGCCTTGTGCTCCGCAACGAGAGAGGCCACAACAGTGAGAGGCCTGCGTACTGCAAAAAAAAAAATAAAAGTACCTGTTGATTAATATAGTGCATATTAAATGGATTTTACTCCTTTATTTACTACTCTGAAAAGCTGAAATATCAAAGAAAGTTACAAATTAAAACTGGGCAAAGCATCTACAACATCTGGATGGTAGAAACTTGATTGCTTTTGATACGTTCTTTGGAAGAAGCAGTTTCAGAGCTAATACAACGAAACTGGCCCTGAGTTTGTATTGCCCTTTCCTCTAAAGAAATTCGTTATCTCTAACTGGCACTCTGATACTTGCTTTGATTAGTCTAGTGTTCGGGTGGGGGTGAGGGGACAACTGTATGAGTTGGATACCTTTGTTAACAGTGGAGAGGCAGCTACTGGGTAGACTTCCCAGTCCTTTGTGATCTTTTTCCTTAGTACTTAAAGAGAACTGCCATCAAAGCCCAACTGTTACTCCTTCCCGATGTTGCATGTTTCTGCCTCTTCGTGTGAAAATTATAGCTTTTGCCTAGGCCTTGAGCGTTGCTGTTGGGGGAGTTTATCATTAACTTATAACACGGAGCTGACCTCCCTTCAGAGTGACTCTGCACTCTGCTATTTATAGATACTTTCCTCTCTGTCCCTTCCTGGTGGCGTGCTGCTCTCAGTGTACAGAGTGGCAACCACCAACCCTTCTTCAGCCTAGCCGTCCCCCCATTTGGGTCTTGTTATATGTGGCCCAACTCAGTTCTCCGCACGCCTGAATCCAAGCCCAGGGGTCCTGCAACTCCAGGTGTCTGGACACTGGCAGAAGCAGGAGAGCCAGTAAGAACAGCCTTTCAGCAGCTCAGTTTGTTCACTACACCCTGTTCCCAGGCTGCTGGTAAACTCGGCCAAAGGTTTGGGGTAAATGTGCCTGCCCCTCGCGGAGTAATAAGCACGTTGTTTTGAACCTGAATGGAGGCAGTGGTGCTCGCTTCGGCAGCACATATACTAAAAAACTGAATGGAGGCAGTGAAGACTCAGTTTTCTCCGGGACCAGTGGGGAGTCTATTTTTTTATATTAATCAAACATCATTGTTTCCCAACATGTTTGAGTGACCTGGGCATTTTATTTTTCATCATAATATTTTTGAATTAACTTAGAAAATGAAATAAATTCCCACAGACACGTAACTATTTCAAAATTTGGCCAGGTGTATCTCTACCAGTAATGAGCCACTTGTAGCCCTCCTGATTCAAGCTAGCATTCTCCATTATCACAAGGTAAAGAATTTGAAATTTTACCTTTTATCCCTACAAATATTCCTAGAAATTAGAGGCTAAAAAACAGTTCTCGTTTTCTTGTGACCTACTTGTTTGAGTTAAGAATGTCCAAGTTGTTTCTTTTATATGTATATATGTATATGTATGTGTGTGTATATATATATATATATGAGAATAAACATGATTTCCCAGGTGTGTTTATATTTTAAAAGAAAGAAGACCATGGCCCATAGCCTCTCCCCACCCATCCCACATTGGCCCTTGTGTGGAAAAGGTGGGTAACTATTGACTTTGGCTGTGGAAGGAGATGGGGAAGGTATTTTAGTACCAGGAGAGAAACTTTGAATCATAATTGTAGCAATCATACAATTTGAGCTGTCTTGTCCCGAATGGCCACGTGTGACTCTTAAGCACCGGAAATGAGGCTGGTCCAGATTGCGATATGCTGTGAAGTTTCAAAACACCCATATTTTGAAGACTTAGTACCAAAAGAATTACATGTTGAAATAATAATGTTTAGCTATATGAGGTTAAATAAATACATTTAAAATTAATTTTACCAGTTTCTTTTTTACTTTTTGGTGTGGCTGCTAGAAAATTTAAGCTTACATGTGGCTCACATTGTGTCTTGAGTGATGTTTCTGTTAGCACCAGCTCGGGTGACAGTGGAGGTGTTGTGTTTCTCGTGCTGAGGGCCGGGGCCTCTAGAGAGTGCTGCAGGCAGACTGAGGTGTGTAGGGATTTGAACTTGGGGAGCATGTGCTTACGTGCCTTTGTATAAGACCCAGAAAAAATTTGTATTATAACTATTCCCTTCATAGCACATCTAAAAGAAATAGTATTAAAAATCTGTAACACATTTTGTTGTCTTAAAGTCTTTCCCCTGTGTTATCTTAGGTGAACGCAGCTACTTCTCATGTTTGTGTAGGTTGTACTTCTTACTTTAGGTGACTGCAGCTATCTAAACTGGATGTATGTTGTGCGTGTTTGTTGCAAGACTGGAGCATGCGAGGAAGTATTTAGGGTATGGGATCTTGGGGATTGAAGTGAGCCAGTTACGGAATGGCATACCAGAGGCTGGCTTCGCGGGTGTGCGGCCTGTAGTCCCACGGGGCCCACACCCAGAAGCGTTAGCTTTCAGGCTCAACATTGCTGTCTTGAGATTCTTCATAATCTTTGTATCTCTTTTTGAACCTTTGAACCTTGTGCCCTGGGCCGGCCATTCCTGGGTACAGGGTTTCCACCATTGATAGCAGTTCACAGACTTGGGCTTTACAGAGTGCAGTTTACCCCACTTGGATAGAAAATTGCCAAAATTAGGCAGTTAGTACATAATGAATAGGGGATTTTGTATTTTAAACTCATTAAAGTTCTTCTTTGTCATTTCCACAGTTTCCTTCTCATTTGTAGGCAGGACCATCAGCAGTTTCTCTCTCCAAAGCTCTTTAATAGTTTACCTTTTAGTGTGTCCATGGTGTCATTTTTTCTGGCCTCTGTTGGAAAGTGTTACGTTTTGCTTCTGTTATGTTGAAGGAAAACCCACTAATACCAGCTTGTCCACAGGGAGTTTCTGAAATAAATAAGAGTCACGTGTTGGTATAGTAGGCTTTTCCTCTGTTTCTCATGGTTACATGATTATTTTGAATATACTTATAGCAGTTTATTGCAAATGATCAGCAATGGTTTAAACCCAGGACAGCAGCAGCATCTGAGGACTTGCTAGAGGTGCAGAATCTCAGGCCTGATCCCTGCTTTCCTGAATCAGAATCTGAGACTGTGTTTTAATAAGACCCCATGGAAGTTCGGTAGCATTGGTTTAAAGCTCACTTGACTTCAAGGGGGTGGTATGTTGATTACACAGAAGCTTCCAGGTGCTGAGTGCCGGTATGTCTCAGCCACCAGACCAGGCCTTTCTCATCTACTCACAGCCAGTTTACTTGTTTGAGGATATTGGGGCTTAGAGAGGTGAAGTGGTTTTCCTGAGGCCTCAGTGCCAGGCAGTTGTGGAGCCAGCATTGGAATCCAGTATGTTGAGATGCTTAAGAGTCCTAACAAGGTTTGAGGAGAAAATGATGTTTATTTGATGGAAAGCAAGTGGTTGTAGGTGGTTTACATAAACCACAGTTGGGCCCTGTTCAATATACTCTTCCAGCAGAGCCTTGGCAGATTCTGCAGAGGGACTGACGTCCTTCTCAAACTTCTTGCACGTGACTGAACCACATCACCATACCAGGTCCCGTGTCATAGAGACAAGGTAGCACCTTTTGTTTCAGAAACAAAGTGTCACTGCTTAACTGCTTTTGAAATAAAGGTACTGTGGCCCAGGTTTTGCTTCCAAGAAGGATGATATTTTAATTTCACAGGACCCTTAATTAAAGCAGTTGATCTATGACGAGTAGATTTATGGATCCTTTGGTCCTATTTTATGCACATACAGTGATAATTTTCACTTGTGTCTTCAGTTATGAGGAAGGCGGAGCATAGCAGAGGTTGTCCTCTGCGGCAACTCCTGCCCACATACTCTTCAGCCCTTGTGGAGAAAACCCTATTTTCAAGGTACCTCATTCAACTTATAAAACAATTCTAGGATTTTGCAGAAAGATGGAGGGTAGTTTGCTTTTACCATTTCTCTCTTTGTCAGTATTGATTTAAAAGCCTGTGAATTGGTTTACTGTAAGAAATTGTATTCCCTCTTATCGCTAAATCCTGTTGAAGTATACCTAGGTTAAGAATTTTAAAGTGTATTTATGTTTACTAAAAGTGAGCTGTTGAAGTTCTGACTTTTTTCAGTTTCTTCAGAGTATCTTAGTTACATTTTTTAAAGGACTCCATTGACCTCAGGGCCCTGGGCAGTTGAACTTTGTAACAGTTAGTTCATACCTAGCTTGATTTTACTTCAAAGGGCACAAATAGAAGTAGGGCCAAGCCAGGGGTAACTAATTTACCAGTGCTGTTCATTTCCAGTCAATTTGCTGTTTGGTTAAAAGATAGAATACATAATGTTTAAGAGTATACTGTGGTTATATTTTATTTTTAAGTCGGTAGTATACCTACCCAATTTAAAGAAAATGCACTGTGGAAATGTATATTTTAAGGTGTTCTGATTTGAAAAATGCTATTCTAATTTAGGATAGTGGAAAGCAAAAGGAGTTAGGCATTTTAAAACAGATAGTTGCTCAAGAATTGCTTTTCTTGTGTATAATAAAATAAGTATAATAACACACGATGTCATGCGCTCAGGAGTTTGGAGGAGCTGGTTGGTCAGGTCGGCCATCCTGCTGGAATACAGAGCAGGTGTGTATGATGGCTCATCGTAACCCGGCCTAGGACAGGCTCTCAGATCGGCAGGCAGCGATCTTCCTCGTGGTGATTTGGGGGTGCAGGCACCTTCCTTTTGGGCTCTGCAGTCCCTTAGGGCCTTTTTTGTCATCAACATCCAGCCAGATGCCGGGGGGAGCACATGGAGGTTTTTATGGCTCACAGTACATTGGAGAAAACTTTGTAATGTGGCCATATCTACCTGCCCGAGAAGTTGGGGACATGGTCTAGGTGAGTGCCTAAGGAAGGGAGAGAATGGATCTGGTAGACAGTCCCGCCTGACACCACATGGCTCCGCCCCTCCGGGCAGGCTGTGAGGACTGGGGGGGACATGCCCGTGTGGGTTCAGAGATGGCAGAAAGGAATGTGTTAGTCAGCACTCTATTTCCTCTTGAGCAAGGGATGCTAAACTTTTTCTGTAAAGTACCAGATAGTAAATATGCAGGCCACCCATGGTCACTGTCACATATGCTTCTCTTAAACAACCCTTTAAAATTATCAAAGCCATTCTTAGCTTGCAGTTTGTGGGCTGGATTTGGTCTGTGGGCCGAAGTTTGCCAACACTTGTTATTTCATCACCACCAATTATCAGTTTTCTCTGTAAATCAGTATATGATGAGTTACCTTTATAAGGTTAAAATTTTGGAGGTCAGTTTTTAATTGAGGTAGATAATGTGATTATATCTTGATCCATATTTTAGAAGTATGACTTTGGTTTGTAGATGTTTATAGTTTTCAGTTGATGAATATGAGTGTATATCTTGTTTATAACTAGCCAGTAGTAAGGGCTTGATATGAGATTTGCTTTTGTGGTTTATTAGTACTTTTCATTATACTTTGCCTTTATGTGTGGGATTACAAAAAAATGAAAAGACATGCTACTTTAAATGAGACCTATTTTTTTTTTTTTTGAAGACTTAAGGCTAAATTGTTAACTGTGTCCAGTCTTCTGACTTCAAGTGGAGAGACCATTAGATTAGCAGAAATTCGGCTTATAGACCAAAATAAGCACATACTGACCTGATACCAGTGGGACGTGGGAAGGTATTTGAATGTCACTAATGGCTTTTCAGTGTGACTTTGCTGAAGTATTTAAAATAAGGACAGTGAACTCTTTTGTCTGTAGACATCCTAGGATCGAATTTTCCGTGATCAACTTTGAAGACAAGGTGAATGATTGTTCTTTAAGGTGATCTTGCTACAGTTTTTTGTTTCTTTGTTAAGAATGGCATAGGTTTTGCCATTTTATGGCTTTCACATTTTCAGCTGTGAAAGTGCTGTCAGTGGCTAAAAGTTCTGGTTCGTGGTGGTTATTTATTTAATGTTGTAATATTCTGAAGAGTACCATGTACTTAGGTCTCGATACTTGTCATTTGTTACTGAAGATACTAGTTCTGTGTAAGAATGTATGTTTCACCCTGAAGAAAGGGTTTATTTTCTTCCTTTCCCAGCACTAAATTCTTAAAGTATGGGTGGGTTAATTTTGCAGGTTAAAATCATCCCAGGTTTTATCATTCTTTCAGCATTTTCAAGTCAAAATTTTTTGTTATCAATAAAAATATTTTCTGAGAAGGAAAAAATCTTGCCAGTTTTACTTATTTAGAAAGTATTTTATAGATTCGATATGGAACTTGTTTTTCTTATGTGACCCAAGTTGACATTTTAGACTGTAAAACTAGATGGAAACTTGAAAAATTAATATGTGAAGTTGAAATTGTATTTGAAATACTCTCTGCATTTTGTTTAGAGCAGCATGTTTTGGAAATTTGATCTTCACTCATCATCCCACATAGACACACTTCTAGAAAGAGAAGATGTAACACTGAAGGAGTTGATGGATGAGGAAGATGTTTTACAAGAATGTAAAGCTCAGAACCGCAAACTTATAGAGTTCCTGTTAAAAGCAGAATGTCTCGAAGATTTAGTCTCATTCATTATTGAAGAACCACCTCAAGACATGGATGAAAAGATCAGATACAAGTAAGAAAATTCAGTCTTCTCTTTAGGGTGGGGCTGAAGTGAAGCGGGGGTAGGGTATATTATCGTCCTTGTTGTCTAGCAGCTCTGCAGGGCTGTCGTAGACCAGTTACAGAATGTTAACATGTCAAGAGCAACAGGCTCAGTGGAGCAAACAATCCGTTCTAGAACTAAGTCCAGTGAAATCACAAGATTTTTAAAGTGAACGTTCTAAATTTTGGCCAAAAGGTTTTGTCTAAGGGCAAGGTGCATTATAAACAGTGATAAAGTTTCCTAAAATACTAAGACAATCCAAGTAAGTATTTTCTCTTTTTTGCAAATAGGAAGACAGAGATGATGTGACTACTCAAGATTACACAGCACATCTGGGCCAGAGCTTGTTTAGTGAACAGCGCTGCTGATTAAATAAATTCTGACCTTTTGTTAACTGAAATAAGGGTATGGGTCTTGGTCAACATTTCTGTAGCTAAATTTAAGCAGCTGACACCTTGGATAACTGCAGTGGATTTATCTACTTCACCACTGGTGTCGTCAGCTTATAACACTTCGTATTCGGACCCCTGGAAACTCTGCGAATATTCCATATGTATTTAAAGTGTTGGGATTTCAGTTAGTTACTTTTCCATCTCCAACTCTATTGAAATATTTGTCCCCCCCTCTCTGCCTGAAAATAGAACCAATTCAGGAACAAAACAAAAAGTCATTGATGAAGCATTAAATAAACTTAATGGAATAGGAAGAATTATGGCCTACAGTAGATTCTCCTTTGCCCTTTTTCCCCCAGTCTGTCCCCGTTATCAGATATCCTTTCATTTCTTTGTGGGGAGAGTTTTGCTGTCAGAGGAATAGTACTTAGTAATGCTTCCAAGTTCTCATGGCTTGGATCTTCAAGGAAGTCATGTTCTCTGCCAGCCATTAAGGTTGACAACTAGCATGCAGCACGTCTCCACTCAGAGAGCAGTACCTCAGAAAAGAAAAGGACAGAAATTTGACAGGAATACCAGTGTACTCCTTTCGCCCCAAAGATAGATACTTTGCTACTTTGGAATTCCCTTCACAGTGAACCAGCATATGTGGATGCTGCTTGTCGTGGGGCTTATCCTGGCTGGAGGCAGCGTGGTGTCGGCTTGGTATCAGGCCCACCCGGGATGCGTGTAGCCCTCTCCTAGGAGCTCTGAGAACTTGAACAAGAGGCTTACCCTTCTTGGATCTGTTTTCTCACATGCTGAATGAAGCTAATACTTCTTTAACTGGAGAAGAGTAAGCAAGCCTTGTGGAAATTGCTTATTTTACCAAAAAGTAGTCATGGCATCTGTTGTATTGCCATGCCAGCGTTTTTTGTGCTACCTTTGAGGTTGAGAGAGCAGGTGTGTTTCCCTGGGCATGCAGCCTTCTGGTTGGCACCATTTCGAGGGAGCATGGCTTGAGCTGAGCAGAGCAGTTCTCTGCTGCACTTCTGGCCTGGACAGAGCCACCAGCTGTGGTAACATACACAGAGCCGGATAACTCGGACAGCTGGATTAGCACAGAGTGATTTTTCAGAGGGAATCTGAACGCTTCTCTGGGTTAAGGTTGACTGTAGTCATCTAAGGAAATTTAGACTAGTGCTTTTTAGTTTACGGATGATGGGGTGATTGCTGTGGTTTGTGAAGTTTGTAACTGCCTATCAGTTACACATGTGGATTGAACCCATCACTTTTAATCCAGTGATCATACACAAGGTGTTAAAGGTTTGTCATTTTTACACTAACTTTTTAATCTTAATAACAGATACCTCAGTTTTAAATAATTTAGCAGAAATTTGAACAGAACTTTAAAAATAGGTCCTTAAGTACTAGTGTAAACCCAAAAGCTGAGATGCTGTTGGTCGGGTCAGGGTTCCCACAGAGGGACTTTAGAGGCAAGAGGAGAACCCGGAGGGGTGCTTCCCTCAATGTCAGGGGAGGCCAGGCTTCAGGACGGGGAGATGGGACAGGGGGCCCAGGGGATCCAGGGGCTGTGCTGACAGGCCAGGTAACCATTGGCATTTACAGCGTGGAGCACATGGGCCCCTTCAGTGCAGGTTCTCCAGGTTGTTGGACACGGAAGCCAGGCTGCAGTGCTTCTGAGGAAAAACTGGAGACAAAGCAGAGAGTTCTTTCAAGTAGTTCCCTGGAAAAGGAGCAGAGAGAGAAAGTGGGAGCTACAGGCAGATGTGGAGCCAGGAGAGGTGTGGTGTTTGTTTTTCTTCATAGATGCGAGAAATAACGGTGTGTGTATGTGCTGGTGAGGGTGATGCAGCGCAGGGGGAAATGGGGCTGGTGTGGAGGGAGCGGGAGGTCTCGTGATGCTCTGTGCTGGCCTCGGTCGAGAGGACAGTAGGGTGGCTTCATAGTGGGAGGAGGAAGGGGACCGGCTGCAGGTCAGGGGTATGGTTGGGCTGGACTCTCTTCCTATCGCTTCTGTGCAGCTGAGGTCAGAGGGTGGGGTGGGGCTGGAGAGGCCTTGCTGAAGGGTGGCGTAGAGGAGGTCTTGGGGTGTTTCAGAAGCTTGTTTAATCTTAGGGAGGTAGGGAGGGAGAGAGAGAGTAGCCCCAGCCTGTTCTGAACCAGAACTTTGAGGCTTTGTGTTTGTGCCTGGGCCCCCACATGCGTGCTTCTTTAGCTCAGTCAGACCTCCAGGTCGCCGGTGGAGAAACAGGTGAAAATTTTAAAAGCTGCCCACGCGTTCTTCTGGACCTTCTGCATCAGAATTCTGAGGCTACTCCCTACACACTGGGCTGTGGCCGGAGCTGGCGTCTCCAGCTTTTCCCGGCCCTTTGCCAGCAGCTTCCAAATTGGGGCAGTTGGGCTGACTCCGCCACCACCCCCGCAACCCCAGCCCCGTTGCAGCATTCGGGAAGTTTTATGAAGTAGAAGAAAAAGGGGAATTAAGACAGCTAGTATTTATTTATTCCAGGCCTCCTTCTCGGTATTTTGTATGTATTATTCTCCCCCGTGAGGTAAGGACTGTTGTCTTAATATTGCATCCTTGGAAACTGAGGCCCAGAGAAGGTAAGTAACGTGCCTGAGGTCATACAGCTTGTAAGTGGTGGAGACAGGTTCTGAGCCTAGGTGGTGTGACTCCAGAAGCCACACCTGTCGCCATTGCTTGCTCCTGCCTCCGGCACTTTGGTGACTTTGTATTATGGGGTCTTTGAGTCCTTGTGTTCTATAAAGTGAGGAAGGCTTTAATTTGATTGAGCCAAAGCCTCCGGAAGACAGCGATTTGATAATGTGATCTTTGGGGATATTCTCATACGGTTCAGTGTTCCTCCCTCATGGCAGAGCTGCTAGGTGCTGCAGCTTCTGGTCTGTTGCCAGTTGCTTCTCAAGCCCGTGGTCTCCAAACAGGCAGCTGCTTGGATGCCTCAGGGGTGCTGCATGGCTTCCGACCACACCCTTTACCCCTCTCTTTAGCCATATAGCTGCTTCTAGCTGTTTTGTCACCTCCCTGTCCTGATCAGCATTTGAGCTTGCCACTCCCTGCTACTCACCTGGGAGGGATAAAGAGCAGAGAGGTGAACGGTGGGAAGGGGAGAGTGTAGTCTGGACGGGCCTTGGAGTCTCCACTGTTGCTCTGAGAACAGATGAGAAGTCATTTGTGGTAAAAGAAGTGAGTGGAGAAAATGCATCTACTGCCTACTTTTCAGAGAGTGCCCTTGCGCTCAGGGGCAAACGTGCTTTAGGGGTACAGGTATTTCTAGGACCGTGGGGCCTGTGGAAGAGGACTGTGTCCCACAGCAGTGAGATCTGATGGTGGGCTGATCCCAGAAGATCCTGGAAGACTGGTGTGGAGAGCTCTGTATACGGTTTTACCACCTGGGTAACTCAGGCCGTGTCCTGTTCTCTCCTGAGTATATCAGAATATTTATTCTCATAACATGTCATATGGACTGCACTCTTGATAAGCCCGGCTTTCTAACTCCAGTTACAACCCATCTGAGAATACAGGCAGCCTGTCCAGGAACCTAAGTGTATCTTGAATAGTTAAGGGTGCTGTGTGCAGTGCAGTTTCCTGGAAATGGGCGTCCCCCGCGGTTGTCCTATGAGCTGTGCTGCTTTGCATGCCAGAGCAGGCTGCTGAGGGCTGCGGCCCCAGGCTTTGACCTGCCCCATCGCGCCTCCTCCTCTGAGGAGGCCCCGCCCTTGCCTTCTGAGTCCCAGGTGTGCTCTAGTTTTGTTGGGTTCAAGCTTGGTTTAGAAACCATTTTTTAGACACAGAAGAAAATTCACTCTATAATCTCTCTAGATTAAATTGAACGGAATGGATTGAAATTATTTTCTAATTCCCAGAAGATGACTTTGTTTATTTTTCACAGAGTTTTAGGAAACCTTTCTGATTTGCATTTTACTTTATGTAATTAAACTGTTAATACAGATGATGATATAAGTATCCTGTTCTTCTAGGTATCCAAATATATCTTGTGAGTTGCTCACTTCTGATGTCTCCCAGATGAATGATAGACTGGGAGAAGATGAATCCTTGCTAATGAAATTGTATAGCTTCCTCCTAAACGATTCCCCCTTGAACCCACTACTTGCCAGTTTCTTCAGCAAGGTGCTAAGTATTCTTATCAGCAGAAAACCAGAACAGGTAAATATTGTTTTCCAAAAAGGTAAGTATTAGGGCTGATCATCCCCCTGAGATGATCCCCCAGTAATTTTGTTGCTTCAGTGTTCTGAGTGTGCCTTAAATCCAGGTTCTGTAAAAGGATATATTTTAAACCTTAAGCATTCTAAATGCTTGCTGACTTAACACTGACTTACTCATTAATGAATACATTCTAATTTGACCTCTTCTTTTCTGAGTACCTCACATCTCAGTTTTTCAGTATACTTTGGCTTCCTCTTTTGACAAGGGGTTGGAAGCATGAGAATGTTGGGGTCCATTTGTGAGGATAGTGTGGGGAGGGTGCACACTGAGCGCTTGGTGTGTGGGTGGCATCTTAGTGACTATGGTAAAGTAACAGTTTACTTATTTTTTCTTTCCCCTAAGGATGATCACAGGTGAAACTTAAAAAGCTTTCCCATAAATGCAATTGATGGTTAGTTTATGCAAATGGTGATTGTTTCTATTTTGACTCCACTCAAAAACTTGAGCCATCTGGGTACTGACTGTCATGTGCGTACGCATGGAGCTCTGCTGTTCCTGTCCGGTAGGGCTTAGCAGGAGCTCATTCCTCACTGTTAACGCCAGGAACCTCTCCCCGCTCTTCCTCCTCTTCCTTCATCATCGTGGTCATCTTCTTCGTGGTGTTGTCCATCTATGTTCTCACATCCCGTCCCCCACGCTTCATTTTGTTCTTAATTCAGATGTACTGTACTTGGGAAACTTACTTTCCAAGTATCTGTCCTATGTGTAGTGGTTCTCGAAAGTGTGGTCCCTGGTCCAACAGCATGAGGACCACCCGAGAACTTGTTAGAAAAGCAAGATCTTGAGGCCCATTCCAGACGTACTGAATCAGACCCTCTGGGGGTGGGGCCAGCAATTTGGGATTTAAGAAGCCTCCCAGATGACCGTGGTGCACGCTGAAATTTGAGAATCACTGCTCTAGTGGGAACTGGTGTGGAAAAGGACCTGCTTATTACGAGGAGGCTGTGATCCACTTATGGAAACAGGCACCCAGGGAGCAACAACAGCCTCAGATGCCCGAGTGCAACCTAGCAGTCCTGCAGAGTGCAGCCAGCAGGGGTGTGATGACAGGGGTGCAGGGGTCACACCAGTTGGGCCTGGCATCCTTCGTGGTGGAAAACAGGCTCCTTGACCCGTCCTTGCTGTCAGCAAACATGGAGGGACTGGAACTATTTTAGGCCCAGTACGTCTGTCCTTTGCCAAGGCAAAGTGGATACATGTCTTATTTTAGACGAGGCTGTTCTTTCATGTTCTTAATTGAGCAGGATTACCTTCCTAAGTGTATTGGAATTGAGGTTCTTTTTCCTTAGATAGTAATCCCCAAATCATGATCACTGCAATACAGATTGTCGTTCCTTCTTCTGTCTTTTGATGAGAAGTGACAGTACTACCGACTGTTTTAGGAAAGTGCAAGCCATCCCATCAGTCTAAGGTACCTAGTCAGTTCCAGATGGTTGTAGTCACAATTGAGACAGGGCTCACACCTTCATCATGCTTTTCTCCTCACTCTGTTCTAGGGAAACCCAAATTTGTGGGTCCTGGATTTCAGTGTACCTTTATTATAGAGTGAGAATACACTTAAAGCTCTCTGGTGTTCTACATATTTGCATTGGTCTTCGAGGCCAGACATGTTACCTGTGTAAGGAACATGGCACGTGCCAATTAAATGCCGAGAGGAGGGCCCATTCGCTCTGCTGCTCGTCGGGCTTCTCATTTAAGCCCTCAGCCACGAGAGGATTCGAGAGCCCTTGCTCTTTCAGCTTCAGGGAAAGGTCACACTGCACCTTTCTATCCTTTTGAGAATTTTGAGTGTAAATAAAGGTTTCCCATCACATAATGTATTAGTAAGGATATATGCAACTGCAAGTAATGAAAAAAATTCAGACTCAGTCTGACCTAACCAGTACAGACATTCATTAACTCGTGGAGCAGGAGGTCCAGCTGCGTGAAGCATCGTCAGTGTTGGATGGGCGGGCCCCCCAGCAGTGCGGTCCTCCAGCTTGCTGTCCCTGCTGTGCCACCACGGCACTGGCTGGGACTTGTGCCTTTGGGCTCCAGAGTCAGTGCTTTTGCCACTAAATAATGCAGTATTTTGGCCACATTTGACTTTTTCTGCCTCTCTTCTCCACTGTGCTTTTAAAACTACCATGTGACTCAGTTGTGAGTGGATTAATTATGTATAACTTCTTGAAGGTTTATGTTACAGAGTTCAACCTCATTGTCTAGAGAAGCAACATGTGATGGTTAATCCTGCATTTACACCCGATGATGGTGTGAGGCAGTTTTTAGTTCATCCCTGGCTGTTAGACGTTGTGTGGGATAATGGCAGACTTGTGGCTTTGGGGGCATTTAAATCTCAGGGCATCCACTTTTTAGCTTCTAGCAAGATATTTCACTGGTCTGAGCCTCAGTTTCCTCATCTATAACACTGAGTTGAGCAACCCTGCCTCACAGGCTTCTGAGAGACTCCCGTGAGACTTTTGTCAGGGCAGCTGCCACGCTGGTTGTGCTGCTTCTGGGACTTTAGAACAGGTGATTTGTGCACACGGACAGGAACCAGAAGGTACACAAGGGTGTCCAGGCCAGAACAGGTGCCTTCTTCCACCTGCGCAGGAGAGACCCAGGTGGCGGTCATGACTGTATGACTGTTTTCATAACTCCTCGGGGTAACTGTCAGCCTCTTCCACACTCACTCACCCTCCTTGTGTTAATTTGATCAGGTGAATTGCTGACATAAAATGCAAATGTGATTTTCTATGGCACGTGAATTAGCCACTTTGATGTAGAAATCTTTATATTTTTTATTTTTCTTACTTGCTAGAGTACAGGTAGGATTTTGAATGTTTATTCTGTGTTTTCATGTAAAGCCTAATCGACTTGCTTTATGCCCATAAACTATTAAGTGGTGTATTTGCTTGCTCTTTATAGGGTGTTAAATTTTTAGTCCTCATTCTTTGAGAATTAATAATGAAAGTGAACAGAAATAAAAGATTATGGTGTGTTTGTATTAGGGAACATGTGATAATTTAAGAGATTTTTTTCCCCAAGAGGTTTTTGAATGTTGTAACAATTAGAAGGCTTTCCAATTTGACATCTTACTACTAATTCAGCATTTGCTATTCCTAAACTTAAAGTGGTGGTGGATTTTGGAGGGGGCAGCTAGATGGGTAATGACTGAAAGCATCCTAAAGTTGATAGTTCCCAAGTGGTGTGTCTTTCAGTTGTGGCTGTTCTCCTCTAGATTGTGGATTTCCTAAAGAAGAAACGTGACTTTGTGGACCTTATTATGAAGCACATAGGAACATCGGCCATCATGGACTTGTTGCTCAGGCTCCTGACTTGCATTGAGCCCCCACAGCCCAGGCAGGATGTGCTGAATGTGAGTAGGATCACGGCCGCTGTGGACGGGCTGGGGAGTGGCGCTCGAGCTGCTGGGCTGCTCAGTCTGGGCGGGATTCTAGGGGATTGGTAGAAAGTGGTCTGGGAAACGGGGGTGGGAGGTGGATTCCAAAATGGGAAGAGATTCAGATCTTTTCAGGATTAGGATTCCTGACGTGTACATCCCTAGGTACATAGGCTGTCTCCTTGTGAGGGGTTCTTTCCCTTTGCTGGTCTGTTCTTCAGTGGGAGTAGGAAGGTAGAATGGGAGCTAAAAGTCTCATCTGAGAATTCTGTGAGGCTTCTTTCTTGAGAAGATGGTCACACTGCAGAGATATCTCTGAAAGTCAAAAAGAAGAGGTGTTGGCATTTCTAGGGAATCTGGCTTCAGAAGTAACTTTCTTCTCGTGGATACCTAGGAGCATGGGATAAGAAGGAGAAAGGAGTTTACCTCCAAAAGGGCACGTATTTTAAAATTTGGTGAGGTGGTTATTTCAGGACATGTGTGTATCCTGAGGAGCTGCCTTGGGTGGGATTTGGGTGGGCGGATGAGGGTGTGAGTGACTTGAAGGTGAGGTTTCTCACAGCCTCTCGTCTTTGCTTCTTGTCTTCTGTCTCTTCCTCTCTTTTGTCCCTTTCACCGCCTCCTTCCAGAACCATTCCCCAGTCCAATCCATCTTTTTTGTTTTTTTAATTAATTAATTTTTGGCTGTGTTGGGTCTTCGTTGCTACGCGTGGGCTTTCTCTAGTTGTGACGAGCGGGGGCTACTCTTCGTTGCGGTGTGCGGGCTTCTCATTGCGGTGACTTCTCTTGTTGTGGAGCACAGGCTCTAGGTGCATGGGCTTCATTAGTTGCGGCACGTGGGCTCAGTAGTTGTGGCGCACGGGCTTCGTTGCTCCATGGCATGTGGGATCTTCCCGGACCAGAGCTCGAACCCATGTCCCCTGCATTGGCAGGTGGATTCTTAACCACTGTGCCACCAGGGAAGTCCCTCAATCCATCTTTAATACTCAACCTCAAACCTTAGAACTCTGGAAACAAGTTTTATTGAAAAAGCTAAAGACCTGAAGGCCCAGAAGGAGGGTCTGTCGGGTGGTGTCCCAGGGAAGGACATGTTCTACCAAGGTGGGCAGGCGTGCCGGAGCGTGTGTTTGTGTGAGTGGGAGAGTCTGGGGGTTGGGTCAGGGCTGGATCTGTAGGAGCAGGCAGAGGTCTACTGAGAACCGTGGTCATGTGAGGAAGTCAGCTGCGGGGGCCTCGTGGATGGCCTGGGAGTTGCCTGTGGGAGAGGGCCCTAAATTGGGACTCTGGCCCTTTTTAGGTGTGCTTTTGTGGATGTGAGTCTCTTCTCAGTAGAGGTTGGGGATTCCAGGGAAGGTAGTTAAGGATAGGAGGGATGGTCACCTTTATGTTTGGATTATTATTGGGGGAAATTATTTAGTGTGGTTTCTTAGAATTCCTTTGGTCACTGCTGGGTTGAATTTTAGGGCCCACTTCCAAAGGAATAGGTGCGTTTCTGGAGGGATATGGTGGTGGGTCGTTAATAAAGGCGTAGTTCGGGGGAAGGGTAGTTAGAAACTCCTCAATGTCTTACTTTGATTGGGGGGCCCACCGTGGGCTTGGGCTGTCGGTGCTTGTTAATAGCTGTGGAGTCAGTGAGGGTGGGCGTTTGATTCGTTCACTGACCACAAAGTTTCCTACTTTTTCTCTTGGCCGTCAGGACCCTCTGCCCCACCTCCTATGTAGAGGTGTTTGCATCCTGTTTTAGGTCATTGCTACTCAAACTTTGGTCCCAAACATCACCTGGGAGCATGTTAGAAATCCCAGGTCTCACCCCTGCCCTGCTGAGTCAGAATCTGTGTTTGAACAGATTCAAACACAGTGTACTTCACGTACACATTTTAAAACATCTTAAAATGTAAAGTTGGGCCTCTGCCTTTGTGGTAGTCTCCTAATAGCTTTTGTTTGCATTTTCCTTTGGCATGTTCTCCTTAAGGAGCCTAGAGACAACCTAAGAATTTCTCCACATGCCTTTATCAAAGCGTGTCCGATTTCTTGCCACCCACTCCTAGCCTCACCCCACCCCACGCCCAGCCCCGCCGCCATCTCTGTTAACCTTTGGGATTTTGTGTGTGTGCACGCCCGTTCCAGGTAGTGAGTGCCTTGTTTATTACGGTGTTCCTGTTCCTTGTGGAACTAATATTACGCCGGCTGATTTTTCATTTATTCTCATCCCCTTCATATTTTCATTCATGGCCGTATTTCATATATGGTGGAAGAAGAGAGTGTCCTAATCATGGTGATAGCTTGCTAGCATGTGGCAGGGCAGACAAACTCTGTTTCTGTGGTGCCCGCCAGCCCCCACGTTTCCTGCGGTTGTTTTGGTTTTAGAAGGTAAAAAGTTCATCATGTGTTTTAAGCCAGAGGCTTGCTACTAAATATTGCTTTTCTCAGCCTTTTTGAAGCTCTCTTAAAGTGAATGCTCTCTTACAGAAAATGTATAAGTTCCATTCCCCCCGCCTTCATGTCCAAAGTACAGACCGTTTTAGTACCCAGTGTCTGAGAATTAACATCACTAAGAAACTGATGTATAGAATTTTTGGATGTGGGTATTGTGACTTGGGGAGTAGTTGGTACTGTAGCTACTGTTAAAATAATATATTCACTGGCATTTTCCTTGGGGGACTTTTAATTTCCTGTAGTGTTCAAAGTCCAGAGAAAACCTGTAACATTCTACTTAAAATGTGATGGATATTTCCAAGTATGTTTATCTTCATTGGGGCTTGAACAAGAGCCACTCATTGCTATGATTACTTCTACAATGTGTTTTACAGTGGTTAAATGAGGAGAAAATTATCCAGAGGCTTGTGGAAATAGTTCATCCATCGCAAGAAGAAGATGTAAGTTCTCTTGTGTGACTATAAACTTGATTTAAAAAAAAAAAATGAACCATGTTTATTTGGGCACAGAGCATAATTGTACTAGATGTGAAGGTAGAGGGTAGGTAACAGCGATCACCTGGCATTCTTCAAGTTGACAGGTTTCTAAACACCAAAGGTTTTTTAAAATACTGCATTTTGCCGATACTCAGAAAATTTCCCGGAATGTGAAACAGTGAGCCTTGGGTCTAGCTCCTTCTCCTTCTTAGAGCTGAGACTTCGTGCTGCATCTGCTTGCCTTTATTACAAACCTCCTCCACACTTTGTTTTTCTTTTATACCCATCATTAGTCCAAATGATGTGGCCACGTCTGTGTGCATTTGTTTTTTCCATTCTGGCTAAAGCTTTCCAGACAGCGCAGCAGGATCCTGGTCACCATTGAATCCTTAAGAGGGATGAGCTCTTGGTGGTTCTACTTCCTGGCTCGGGCTTTTGTGCTGACAGGTTTGGCCTTTGTCCTGGGTGCTAAAGATTGACTTGGCAGTAGAATTGAAGCTACTTTGGAGTTTGCACGTTGAGCTCCATGCTGAGGGGATGCTTGGGGGCGGGGTGGGGTCACCAGGACCAGGGGGTATGCTGCTGTAGAGGAGGCTGTCCCCCTACTTCTCTGCTGCTGCCCTTGTTGCTGCCTTCAGTAGTGGACTGACTCTTGTGGAGCTGCCAGCATTTGGCCATTTCTGCCTATGGAAATGACAGTTCCACGTGGTTCAAGGTAGTATCTACAAAGGAGTTGTTTCAAACAACATGCAGGGTATGTCATGGGGCGTGGGCAGCCTCCTTGGATGCCTCTAGCTTGGACTAATCGGAGAGTGAGCGCCATAGAGGAGACAGTGCAGAGGAAGGAGCATGTGGCCGGAGCGTGTTCTCCCCACCAAGACAGATTTCCTGTGGAGGTAGATGTAGCCCCTTCTACTGCAGTCCATTAAAAAACTTTTGGTACCTGGAGTTTATCTAAAGCAGCCTCCCCATCCCACCGCCCCCTTCAGAAAAGAGAAGAGCTAACCATTAAAGGGGCTGTTGATTCCCACCCTCCCCTGAGACAGTACATCATGTGCTCCCTGCAGTATCGTTACTGCTGACTCTCAGGAAGGACACTCCAGTGTGTGCACGTACTGGGTGCTAGAGCTTCGACGGCGCCCTCGGCCTGGTTGGGGTGATGAGCCCTCCTGCTGTGGCTGGGGGAGTTGGATGGTTCCAAGAGCACATTTCCCATGTGCTGGAAATGTGGCCGGTGCAGGCCGAGGAGAGTGAGGACAGGAGCGTGGCCTGCCCTATTCAAGGGGTAGGGAGGACACATCCACAGACGAGGCTTGCTCATCACTAGGTTCCTGCTCAACAGGTACTGTCCTTGTCTGAAGGGTCCAGGAGAAGTTGACAGAGGAGAAGCCCAACTCTGCAGCAACTTTTTTTTGCAAAGGACAAAGCGTTTGGGGCATCAGCACCTTCTCTAACTGACTTGCAAGAGAAGTTAATTTTGTCTTTTGGACAGTCCTGTTGATACTTCCGTTTTGTATTAAGTGATGAATTGCATATATTTATTGAGGAAATGTTAGACTCCTGATTGCAAACAGTGGATTTTGATACCCTGGTGTGTGTTGTCATCTGTGCTGGAACCTGCTGGTCTCACTGGGCAGGTGATGCTCAGTGCCACATGCCACGGAGCATAGGCGTTTGGTGCTGAGATTTCAGAACTTTCCTGTAGAATAGCACACTGCGCACTGAAAGAAGTAATATTTCTTATCCATTAGTATATTCCAGAAAGCTGCGTTTATTTTTTTAAGCCAAAGAATTGTGTTCATCTTTCTTTGCTGCTAAAAGGATATAAATTTGGGGGGTTATGTTTTTCTTCAAGTATTTAATTAAAGAAATTTTTCCTTGTCAGAACTTTAATTACATTTCCCTACACAAAGTAACGTGTATTTTGTTTGTGGTATTGTTAAGTAAAGCCTGGAAGGGTAAAATACTCATGCTTGACATATGTTATTTCTTTGGACCCTGGCTTTTTATTCACTGTAGCTTATGGCCAGTGTTAATTTGTGTTATTTCTTAAGCAGTTTCTTCACTAACTTTATTTTATTATAAATTTGACTTCTGATGTGTTTTATAGTTAAAATTGTACTTCTTTCCTTTAGCGGCATTCAAATGCATCACAGTCACTTTGTGAAATTGTTCGCCTGAGCAGAGACCAGATGTTACAAATTCAGAACAGTACAGAACCAGACCCCCTGCTTGCCACTCTAGAAAAGTATGTTTGAAACTCTCTTCTTGTTCTTTTTTCATATTGATGCTATTTGATGTGCTTCCAGTGTAAGTACTTGGTAAGTGTTTCTTACGTGGGAATCCTGTCCCTGGAAAATAACCTGTGGATGGCCGAGAAGGCAGGAAAACCTGCTTATCTGATCTCAGCCAGTCGTGATGCCCATTGGAGACTTACAGGGTAAGAATGTAAATAAATGACATTTATATGTAGACTTTGAACTTTTCAATAATTGTAAACTAAGTTCTATAAAACTATCATGGATGGGGCAGTGACATCATAACTGCTGTCACTGCCTCCATGGTCTTTGGGGAAGATAGGTATATGAAGTAATTTGACCCATCTTAGTCAGTGATTTTTTCTTTTTTTAAATTTTTTGGCCATGCCGCGTGGCTTGCGGGATCTTAGTTCCCCGACCAGAGATTAAACCCGCACCATCAGCAGTGAAAGGGCCAAGTCCTGACCACTGGACCACCAGGGAATTCCCAGTCAGTGATTTTTAATCAGAAGTTCTTCTTAGGATCCACTGTACCTTGGCAGCTGACTGGGGTAACCTGACCAGACCTGATTCGAAGGCTTATACATCTTGTATGTTTTGTTTCTTTATATTGCTTCTGCCCTTATTTTTAGATAATTCCTAATGGACAGACATCTCATGTGTTTCAGGTGGAAGACAGCTTGGGGGTGGTGTAGTATTTTGAAATCTGCGAATGGCCAACCTACCATACTGGTATTTGTAGATTCATACATTTTCAGGAAGAGTATGGGCATACGTTTGCCTGCATCCCTACAACTGAACGTTATTTTAGTAAACAAAAATAAGGCATTTCCCCACTTTGGATGAGTAACTGGAAAGAGTGCCTACAGTTAGCGTTGTTATGTACGAATGGCAGTCTCGCATCAGTTTACTGCTACTGTTGTTCTTCTTAATGACTTTGTTGGAATTTTTTAGTCCTCCTGTATATTGAGACTCGTTTGCATCTTTTGGCCGGGAAGACCCTTTTATTAAACTAAGACATTTGTGTGTATTGTTTACTTGGCAAGTGTGAGACAAACAAGGAACAAATTAGAGACAAGATATCTTGTTTTAAACTCTGTATTCTGAGAAATAAAGTTGTATTTTCCCAGTGTGCGTTGTAGAATCGGAAGGAATTGACTAGTTCTCTCAAGTAGCAAGACAAGAGATTATCAGCTTCTGAGTAAAATGTCATCTTACCTGCCCCATTTCAGTTATTCTTAGGCATTATGGCATATGTACTCCTTTTATAATATACAATACCGATAATTGTAGTAGAAATAGGTTGAACCATGTAAAAATTAACTTACTCAAGGTTAAAAAATGTTGACTGACAGTAATTTCATATGGTTCATGACTGCACTGTCCAATAGAAATATAATAAAAGTCACATGTAATTTAAAAATTCTAGTAGCCATATTAAAGTAAAAAAAATAGGTGAAATTAATTTTTATGTTTTATTTAATAGGTACAAAATAATATTTCAACATATGTTCATTTAAAAAATTATTAATGAGTGAGTCTACATTCTTTACTTTGTGCAAAGTTTTGGAAATCCAGTGTGTAGTTTACACTTAGAGCAGGCCAGTTCAGACAAGTTACCTTTTGAGCGTTCTGTGGCCACAGGTGGTGCTTGGCTCCCTTCCTGGACTGTGCAGGTTCACCCCGAGTGTCAGGCTGGTCAGTAGTAATCACTGAGTTCTTCTGTGCCAGCCCTCTCTTCACTCAACTCTATTTGGACTAAACGTGGGATCTAGCTATTGGAGCCTCTGTGTGCACTAGCTAATATATTTCAGACTGTGTTTTTAGACCTGGATCAGGCAACTGTACTTTGATGCAGAGAGGTACATAATCAACATCATTAAATGTTAGAGTAAATTTCTTCAACTACATGGTCCTAAAGAGTCAGGGGCTCCGTGGTGTCACTGAGTTAAACCTTCACTGCACTGAGCATCGGGGAGTCTTAACTCTATAACAGTGCTTCCCACACTCTTCTTGAGGATGAGAACCAACCCTTTTTAATATCAGACGTGTTCCCACATTATAGTCGTTCTCTTTAGTATCTGTTGATTGAGGAAGTACACAGTGACCAAAGGCTCCTGTGAGCTTAGTAAGCTTTTATTAATTTTAATAGTATCTGTGTATATTTTATATATTGTTATATATCTGTATGTATTTGATTATCACCTAATAATATATAGCAGTGTTGTGTTATAAGCCAGTCTACTCGGTATACAGGCTAACCCCCACATAAACACCGTATGTGTAACTGGAAGTGTAGGTTAGCACTGCAGGAAAAATTGGAAATGAGCTAAGGTTAAAGAGAATGGTCAAGGTGGGTAGGGATACCAAAAGGCCTCTAAGAAAGTGGACCGAGGTGTTAGGTAGTGAGTGTTAGCTTGGGAAACAATCTGAGCTTAAATTGAATGTATTTAATTTAGTAGCTCTGTTGTGGGAAAATCTGAAGTTCCAGAATTCCTTTAAAACTAGTTGTGTTAGGGAGGGTTGGACCAGGCAGCTCCTAATTCTTGATACTAATGAGCTTACAGTGGGTCGGCCTCTGGGCCGGGTTGAGCCCAGTTATTTTTATAGATGCGAGTCTTTAGCTGCCCACACAAAAACAAAACAAAACAGAAGTGCGCCATCGTCTCAGAGGCCTGGGTGAAGAACCTGGCTGGCCTCGTGCGTAACACAGCTCACATAATGAACTTCATTGGTGTTCGTCTAAGAACTCCATTTTTTTTTTTGCGGTACGAGGGCCTCTCTCTGTTGTGGCCTCTCCCGTTGCGGAGCACAGGCTCCGGACGCGCAGGCTCAGCGGCCATGGCTCACGGGCCCCGCCGCTCCGCGGCATGTGGGATCTTCCCGGACCGGGGCACGAACCCGCGTCCCCTGCATCGACAGGCGGACTCTCAACCACTGCGCCACCAGGGAAGCCCAAGAACTCCATTTTTTAAAAAGTGGAAGTGAATATGTCTTCTCATTTGTAAATAAATGCCTTATTATTTAAAGAATATGAAGGCATTCTTTTTATCCTGTTTAATAAGCTCAGTTCTTCAGTTTATGATTTCTTCTGTATTTGGTGATATTTGTATGTTTAGCTAAGGCTCAGAATATGGCTCAGCTGCTGGGTTGCATCTTGACCGTCACATTTTTGCTGGTTATTATCTCATTTTTGTCCATTAGTAGAACACTGTCCATGGGTATGGTAGACTTCCAATTTGATGCAGCCATGAAAGAGTGAGCACCTCTTTGTTAGCCACTCCCTTCAGGCGTCAGGGTTTATGAAAGGTGATATTGCTCTCTGGAAAGTTAGACACTACAGCTGAATGAGAAGGTGGACATCTACAGTTGGATGCCCTGTCGGTACCCCTCTACCTGGGGTGAGGCTGCTATTTGAAGAATATACGTATTTACAGAAAAGCAGTCTGTTTTCCAGAGCTCAGTTCCAAGTTTAATAGTTACTCTGTAGACTGCTGTGTGTTTAGTGACTTTTACAGTACTGTTTTGGGTAGAGATCTCACAAGCAATTCTAGTGCTGGTCTGAGAGTACTTGAAAGCAACTTCCTGCAAGGGGATCCTCTGAAGTTAGGTTAGATACCAGTTTTATTTGCTTCCCCCAAAGAGAAAGAGATTCTCTCCTACTTGCTGTCCTAACCTGGCAAAGGAACTGGTGTTAGTAGCCAGTGAGCACAGCTGTACCTTGGGGTGACTAGTGTGTCTGCCAGGTGGGCACCAGAGACAACACAGCTGTCCCTCTCATTGCTAAGGTGATTCCATTTCTTAATCCCCATGGGTTCTAAAAATTACTGAGACCCTAAGAAACAGGTTTTCCTTGAGAACATCCGTATAAATTTATTCACCTAACAGGTTACCCTTGTATTCTACATTAATTGTGACCTTGTATACATGTATGGGGGGGTGTCATGGGAAGAGCCTGTGGAGAATACTTTTGGGGCAGTAGTTCAGTCACACCCATTTCACTGCTACCACATTATTTTGGTTTACCAAATTTTAGTTGTAGAGTACAGTGCAGCAAGTGATGTTATCTTGTATCTGTTTTAGATCTTTGTTAATTATACATGAATGCCTTTGTGGGAAAACATTTATGGTTTCTTTTGTAAAAAGTCCCCTCCTTCTGTGGGGCTGAAGGGTTCTGAGTCTTTTTACCGCCCGTCCCCACCATCTGAGTAGGAGGTGACTTCCAGTCGTGAGGTGTTTGTTGGCTTTCAACAAAATTGGCAAAGGCAAGCAGGGCCCAGATGACTTTGCTGAGGGGAGGGGATAGGAATATATATATATATATATATATGTCTGTGTTACATTTATGATAAGCAAGATCACTGGCCTTCCTTATAGATATATTAAACATAAAATATTGTTAATAAATATGCACAAGTGAGGTTGAACTCTTTTATACTTGTCTTACTGATACCATGATCTTTTTCTCCGAAGTTGTTTGTGTTAAACAATGTTACAATTAGTGCTTGACTATTGATTTGTTTTCCTAGGCAAGAAATCATAGAGCAGCTCCTATCAAATATTTTCCACAAGGAGAAGAATGAATCGGCCATAGTCAGCGCAGTCCAGATATTGTTGGCTTTACTTGAGACACGGCGACCAACGTAAGTTTTCCTTTCTATCTTGCGAAATGAGCCATTTGGTTTTGCTTTTAGAATTTTTAAAAGCTAAGAGTTAAGTTGTTGGTTGATCGCTACAGTATCATGCCCGTGAATTTCAGGTGTTGAATCTTTTTCTACTATATAAATAGTTTTATATGAATGGGATGCATAGATGTAGTTGAACTATATGGTTTGGTAAACACTATTGGCAATATGTGGATTCTAGTCATTTGGGGTATTGTAGTAGTTACCAGAATGCTTCTATAATAAGTCAAACCCATACAGAATGGCTCAAACACAAGAGAAGCTTATTTCTTGCTTATGAAAATTGAAAATAGGTGTTCCTGGTTTGTATGCAGCTCTCCTCCAAGTGGCAGTTCAGGGCTCTTTCCATCTTGTGATTCTGTCCAGTGCTTGCTAACTTGAGGCTTTGGGTTGTTTTTTTCCGGGGTTTCACATATGAGGCAACTACAGTTCATTAGGCTGTTTAAAAATGGACGGGCAGGTGGCTTGAGGCCTTAAGGAAAACTTTGTGCTGTGTGTTTCAGAATCAGAAATATAGTCTTGTTTTCCCTATGTATGTGCCTCTGGACAAGTCAATTAATATTTGTCATATTATTCTTTTTTTTCTTTTTTCTTTTTTTTTTTTTTTTTTTTTTTGCTGTACGCGGGCCTCTCACTGTTGTGGTGTCTCCCATTGCGGAGCACAGGCTCCGGACGCGCAGGCTCAGCGGCCATGGCTCACGGGCCCAGCCGCTCCGTGGCATGTGGGATCTTCCTGGACCGGGGCACGAACCCGCGTCCCCTGCATCGGCAGGCCGACTCTAAACCGCTGCGCCACCAGGGAAGCCCTGTCATATTATTCTTTACAGTTTATACCCAAAGCTAATTTACTTATTAATTGTCAGCGTTTTCCTAATTGTTCTCTGGAGAATGAGAATTTGAAGAGGTATGTATGTGTTTGCATTCTGGGAACATGTGGTTTAGAGATTAGAATTTGTATTTTCTTACCCACTATTGGATCCATCCAGTAAAGCAGAGGGCATGAAGAGGAGGAGAGACACGGTCTGCTGTCAGCATATGAAAATTTAGCCATCCAGCGTTTCTGGATTTAGTTTGTGATGTCATTTTGGTTTCCAGCAAAATAGTAAACACAGCCTTACCAATCCCTGCTTCCCAAAGTCTTCATCTCTATTTCTGGTTCTTTAATCTCTGGTTAGTGATAATGGAAGGGCAGTGTGGCAGCACTGCTTCAGCTCTGTTGTCATTTGGAGTTGTATCTGCAGTTTTGACTTTGCCTATGTCTTCCCTGGTAAATCATATTTTAAATAGCGTAACCAGTAACTTAAGGTATTAATCAGGTGATACAGAACTGTTATCTTGCTACTCATGCTGCAAGGCAGTTGCATCATCTCTCAAAATGGTTTAAAAGCACATGAGCTGGTGCTGCGAGATTTATATTGACAACTCTGTCTTGAGAATGGAGACGATACAGTAATAAATGACAGGAAGGAATTTCTGATCAGAAGGAACTTATCCTCAGACCACAAAGGTTTATCAAATACTAAGCACGATTAACTTTAAAGAGGGGCAGGTGGAGGGGTGGTGGACAACTGAGATCTTAGCCTTATCCTTATGTGATTTCTGAATCCCTAGGATAAAGGATAAATCTTAAAAATATTTGGACAAGAAAAAAGTGGGTTAACTACAAAGCAAATCACGTTGCCAGACATGTCATTTGTAAAGCTAACTAAACACTGCAAAGCAGGGCGGGATTGTGACCCTGAAGCACTTTTGTTGCTGTGTGAGGGCAGGAGGCATTTTCAAGCGTATGGACCTCAGTGTCCCATCCGTGTCCTGTACCTGGGCCAGATTACTCGAAGATGGACTTTACTGAAGCCAAGCAGAAAAATAAGGTAGAATAAAGAATTTAAGATAAGGAAATATGTTGGTGAAAGTAATGATAAATGAAACAGATAGGAATGTGACAATTCATATGACTATGAAAGTTATGTTAAGAATGAATAATTGAATAAGTCAAATGTTGAAAAAAAAACCCCAATAAATTCCAGATTATTTTAGTAAAACTCAAGAAGTAATGAGAGGGCTTCCCTGGTGGCGCAGTGGTTGAGAGTCTGCCTGCCAGTGCAGGGGACACGGGTTTGTGCCCCAGTCCGGGAAAGAAAGGAGAGAAAGGGTAAGTTAGTGCACAATATAATTCTTATCTTCTACTGAGGAACTGAGGTACTTTGATACACAGTTTCATTTTTCATCTTAAAAAAATGATAGTTCCAATGTCTTTTTTATAAACGTAGAATAATAGTAGGTTATGTAACGCCCAAAGCGCCTCAGGTGCAGGGAGAGCAAGGACACCCTGAGAACTACAGACTCAGGACTTTGCACATACCTGCGAGCCCTGCTCAGGAAGTACTGGAGGCCGGGTAAGAGCCCTGAGAAGGCCTCCCTTGCAGAGTAGGGCTGCGGAGTGCAGCAGCAGGGTCCTTCTCCATTCCCGCCCCTGCTGAATAAAACCCTGAAGCCACTGGCGAAAGGGCAGCAAACCCTGTAACCCTAAAGACTCGATGAGGAGGAAGGGACCAGGAAAATGTCTCTGCCCCACGGGACAAGCAGGGACACTTTTCAGGGCCCAGGCTATTAGAGAGCCCCTACCACTGAGGTAAGGGCAGGATCACCGAGAGGGCCCCACCCCTGAGGTCCATGAGCACTTCCGCTGCCTAAGACTGAGGCTGAACCAGAACAACAGAGCGGTCCTCCCCACCAGGCCACCACACATCGAGTGACGAGAGCAGCGTGCTGGCGGAGGGAAGGCTGCAGTGTGGAAGGAGGCCATCAGCACAGGAGCAGGCTTGAAGGGAAGAACCTCAGCCAGGGGCAGAGCAGAAGTTGAGAAAACCTTGGCAATCCATCCCTAACTATAACTACAAAGTGACTTGAGACACATTTAAAGTCTTCAGTGTGCCGAGAGAAGTCAGTCATAGGAACAACAAAACCCAAACCTAACTCAGCTGCTGACTATAAATTGATCCAGAAACCCCACACTAAAGACCTAGAAAAAAAGGGGTGTATCCATTGCAAATACTAGTTATATCAGTCTCTGTTGTCTTACACAGCATGTCCACGTCACAGCTAAAAAATTGCAAGACAAAGAAGCAAGATAAAAAGAACCCAAACAAACTGAACTCTCAAGAGAAAAAGCAGTCAGGAGAACTAGATTCAAAAATGTTGGAACAATCTGGTAGGGAATTTAAGATAACTATGATTAATGTGTTAAAGGCTTGTGGGAAAAGTGAGCAATATGTGAACAGATGGAGAATTTTAACAGATATGGAAGATCATACACAAATGCTAGAAATGAAAACTACAACAGAAATTGAAGAATGCCTTTGGGCTCATTTGTAAACTTTGACATAGTTGAGGAAAGGATCAGTGTAGGACACTAGAAGTTACCAATACTGAAATATGAAGAGTTAAACCAGGAAGACAGTTGCTTTGTGAGGCCTAGAAGTCATGAAGCATCACCAGGAACAAGTAACCGTGTGCCCAGATCTCAGTTTCTCATACCATCCTCCAGTAAAGGAACCAGGGCTTCATGGAGAAGTGGCTGGTTCTGCAAGTGGGCTAAGAAGTACACAAGATGAATGTGGAGCATCCTGTGGTGCAGACAGTAAGGACGCGCTCCGAGAGAAAACCCACAGCACCGGGTGTGTGAGAGGGGCACGGGGCAACTAAAAGAGCTCCCAGTGGCCAGAGCTGGCAACACTTGCACAATAAAATAAGGCAGTATGGTTTTATAACACAAAGTATAAAATACCCATGGGTTCATACTGATATAAATAAGTGACTGAATAAGTAAAAGAGGGTGAAGAGACAAACCTCCCCTGTGGGAGAATTCCAAATAGTTCATAATCCCTTCTCAAGGAGGAAGAAAAAGACTGTCCGTTCTTGACGTGTAGACTGCACCTCATGACTTCCTTCTAAAAAGTGCAGTATGAAGAGAGAATAAAATGAGAACTTGACAGTTACTCTGTCAAGTTTGACAGAGAAATCTGACCAGCACTTCCTCAGCCATATAATCAAAGTCAGCAGCCAGCACTGTTGTGTTGATAGTGTGTAATGAAAATGTCATTTGACTTGTGTGTTCTTCCTCTCAAAGACCCATGATCATGAGAAAAATGTCAAGACCAGACCCCAGATGAGGGACATTTGCAAAGTACCTGACCAGGAAAGTCTGAGTAACTATCACAGCCAAGAGGAGGCTAAGGACACTTGAAAGCTAAATATAGTGTGGTGTCCTCGGTGGATTCTGGGTCAGAGAAACAACTGTAGGCAAAAACCAAGGAAATCTGAATAAAGTATGGATTTTACGTGTGAGTACTGGTTCATTAATTTTGACAAATGAAAGATAATAACGGGAAACTGGGTATGGGTCACATGGGAACTCTGTACTATTTTTGCAATTTTTTTGTAAATCTAAAACAGAAGTTCTAACAGAAATGGACATAACGTTTAGACAGAAATCGGTAAGAAGCACAGTACTAGCAATTCAGTGGACCTAATTGACGACACCAAGTGCTGGCAGGACTGCAGGGCAGCAGGAAATCTCATTTGTTGCCGGTGGAAATGCAAAATGGTGCAGCCACTTTGGAAGACAGTCTGGTAGTTTCTTAGAAAACTAAACATACTTTTACCATACAGTCCAGCAGTTGTGCTCCTTCATATTTACCCAGAGGAGTTGAAGACTTAGGTTCACACAAAAACCTGCACACAGTTGTTCAGCAGCTTTATCCACACTTGGCAAAGCTTGGAAGCAGCCAGGAGGTCCTCAGTAGGTGAGTGGATAAATAAACCGTAGTTCATCCAGACGGTGGAATATTATTCAGCACTAAAAAGAATGTGCCCTCATGCCATGAAAAGACATGGAGGGACCTTAAATGCAAATGAAAAAGAAAGAAGTGAGGGCGTCCCTGGGGGCGCAGTGGCTGAGAGTCCGCCTGCCGATGCAGGGGACGTGGGTTCGTGCCCCGGTCCAGGAGGATCCCACATGCCGAGGAGCGGCTGGGCCCGTGAGCCATGGCCGCTGAGCCTGCGCGTCCGGAGCCTGTGCTCCGCGGCGGGAGAGGCCACAACAGTGAGAGGCCCGTGTACCGCAAAAAAAAAAAAAAAAAAGAAAGAAAGAAAGAAGTGAAAGAAGCCAGTCTGAAAAGGCTACATACATTCTGGAAAATGTCATATTTTACTGTGGAGACAGTAAAAAGATCACGGTTGCCAGGGGTTGGCAAGGGGAGTGAAATGAATAGGTGGAGCACAGGGGACCGTTAGGGCAGTGAAAATGCTCTGTATAATATCATAGTGACCAATACATGTCATTATTTGTCCAAACCCATTAGAGTGAACCATAATGTAAGCTGGGTTCTGGGTGGTGATGATGTGTCAGTGTAGGTTCATGGATTGTAATAAACATACTCTGGTAGAGGATGTTGATAATGGGGAGGCTGTGCGTTTGTGGGGGCAGAGGGTATATGGGAGTCTCTGTACCTTCCCCTCCATTTTGCTGTGAACTTAAAACTTCACAAAAATAGCTTTAATAAATATCAACCAGTATAACTGATACCAACAGACTAAAGAAGTCAAACCATGTGATCATTTCATTACATTCTTGTATGATAAAACCTCTCTGCAAATTAGGAATAGAAGGGAACTTGGAAACTGAAAAACAAAAAGAAAACCCATAGCTACCATCATTCTTAATGGGCAAAGACTGAAATCATAGCCCCTAAAATCAAGGACCATGGCAAGAATATTTCCCGTCACCAGTTCTATTCAGCCTCATGCTACAGGCCCTAGCGGTGCAGTGAGGCAGGAAAGAAAGAAAAGGCATCCAGATTGGGGACTAGGATGTGGACATACGTTTTGTGGGGGGACCATTCAGCCCACTGAACAGCTGAACCAAACAAACAGAGCCAGTGCTGGTGACAGTGAAGCCTCACACTCTCCGACTGGGATGTTAAGTCATGCTGCCATCTCCTAAAAACACCTGGCAGTTTTTTAACAAACAGACCTTTATTGCAGTATATTATCCAGCACTCTTAGATATTTACCCAAGAAAAGTGAAAATTGTGTCACACAGAAACTTGTAAGTGAATATTTGTGCCCTTTATTCATAATCATCCCAAACAGTAAATAAGCAAAGTTTCCTTAACTGGTGAGTGGTTGAGGGAGCTGCGTGGATGCAGATACCGTGCATCTGGACTGTAGATCTCTGTTCAGAGAGGAAAGGAACAGACTCCCGATGCCCCAAACAGCCATCACTTCTTGTGCCTTTCCAAGTCTGTGTTCCAGATTTCATGTATCTCTTCGGAATATCAGCACAGGTTTTGTTTTGGATTTGGCAGATTTTTACATATATTTGAAAGGATTAAAATGTGAGAAACACCATGGATATTGATTGTAGTACCTGAGTCAAGGCAGGTACATAAATTGATGCTCACTAAGTATTTATTAGATGAACAAATAAAATGTATATGAATGATTAAGGAATTTTAGTATATGTTTTTGTATGGGTTTTTTTTTTTTTCCACATAAGTGGGGAAAAGCGGATCATTCTATAAATGTGGCTTAGAAGTGACTCGCCACTTGGGGAAAAAAATATCATGTCTATACCTGTTTTGCATAAAAATAAATTCCAGATGAGTTAAATGAAAAACACCAGAGGAAAAGTATGCAAATACTCATAGGATTATGGCATTGTAAAGAACTTTTAAGTATGGCTTCCTGGACAGAGACTATAGTGAAGAATGCTATATTTGGCCACATAAATTATTAAAACCCCTACACATTAAAAAGCACTATAATCAAAGCAAAAGGCCTTTATTCTGCCTACTCCCCCTTTCTAGGAATTGAGTTTCTGAAGGCTGTTCCGTGTAGCTCTTAGAAATCACTTGCCCGTGTGAAATATTTTCAAGTAACAGCCCTAATAACCACTCTCTAGGTGTTAGCTGTGTCCGGCAGCGCCCTCAGTCCTTTGTCCTTATTAGCGTGGTCCCCACAGCAGTCCTGGGGTAACAGCCCTAATAACCGCTCTCTAGGTGTTAGCTGTGTCCGGCAGCGCCCTCAGTCCTTTGTCCTCATTAGCGTGGTCCCCACAGCAGTCCTGGGGTAACAGCCCTAATAACCACTCTCTAGGTGTTAGCTGTGTCCGGCAGCGCCCTCAGTCCTTTGTCTACATTAGCGTGGTCCCCACAGCAGTCCTGGGAGGGACATTCTTCAGTGGTTCCCGTTTTCCATATTAGAACGAATTACTGGTGAGTGAAGGTCCAGGGTTCAGGCTCAGGCAGTCGTGCTCCAGCAGCTACATTGTTAAGCGCTAGTTTGCACTGACACACCACTCTCAGGTTTATCTTTTAATCTGAATTGTACACCCACATTTTTAGACCCCTCCCTCCTTATGTCCCCAAACTTTGAGAACCCCTGTGCTTTCTAAAACTGATTGGGATTTGGGAGTCTCATTCCACTCGTAATTGTTTTTCTAAAAGGAGTGGTTTATAATGAGTATAGATGAAGCTTTATGCAGAAGAGTAAGTTAAGACTTTTAAATAGGAAGCAGTGTTGATTAGTCAAAAGAAACTGTATAGAACTAATACAGGCTTGTTTATTATTAACAGTCTTCCAGTGGCAGGCAGTGTGATGTGTCCTGTAATTCAGGGATCTCCTGCTGCTTTCCAGATTTTCTGGTTAGAGACCTGATATTAGTACAATAGGTATAAGGAGTTAAAAGGTTTAGGAGAGAATGGGAAGAAATGGATATAATTTCTCACCCGACACTGTACATCTTTGGATTTCAGACCATGTTGGCTGATCCCTATCAAGGTTTTATTACACCCTCTTCCTATCCTTCCAGAAATTTTGATATAATCACTATATATTCTATAGCTATTATGTATATCCCTATACGCTGATACGGAGCACCTTGAGTGATTTGTTCTGAAGTAATAAATAAAATTAACTTGCTTTGTTTCAAGATTTGAAGGCCATATAGAGATCTGCCCACCAGGCATGAGTCATTCAGCTTGTTCGGTCAACAAGAGCGTTCTAGAAGCCATCCGAGGAAGACTTGGATCTTTTCATGAACTCCTGCTTGAGCCACCCAAGGTAAGGCAGCTCTCTGAAGCCCGTTGACCAGCCAGTAGCTAGATTTCAGCTGTTGTTAGAAAGTAGATGAACCTTGTGAGTTAAAGGACTGGCTGTGACTCGCATGTGCAAAGCATATTAGAAGGTACACGGGCAGTTGTTTTCATTGCTCTTGAGCTAGTTTTTAATTGGCTTTTATCGATATATAGCATCTAAATTGATGAATAGAATAGAATTAAAATTAAGTAAGTTACTCATCTGCTTAGGAAACTCAGCTTTTTGTTCTTCCTCTATATTCTGCATACTTACGTGCCAGTACAGTCGTTTTCCTCTCACAGCGTGTTATTGTCACATCTTTGAGGTAAAAGCTAACCTTTTAGGAACTAACCTTTGAAACTGAGCTGTCTTATTCAGAGTTGGAGCAGTGTAACCGCCTGATGAACAGGTATCTCATTTAAGAAGTAGTTGGCTGAATGTGACTTGGAGTGTTAGTTTTTCTGTCGGGAGCATCCGTGTGCTAATCTAGAAATGACTGTTAATCAGGCAGCCACTGAAAGCACAGACAGCAGACGGCGAAGACCTCCAAAAGAGGGGTGTCCAGGGTCCATAGTGGTGTCCTTCCGTGACACCCCACCCCCTCGGGTTGGCGCAGATCGAGCTTTAGGGGACAAGGCTCTTCCTTTTGGCATCTCTAGGGTGGAAGGCAGTTCCATGAGAGTTCTACCGCCTGCACTAGTTCTTACACTTTGGTTTTTCCTTCTGCCCTGCATCATTGCATCCAGCATCCCAGGCTCTGGAAAGTGTGTCTCTGTGACGTCTACGGTGCGAGTTACTGGGAAATTAGTAGACTAGTGTCTCCTTTCTAAAGTAGATGTTTTCTGTTTACTTAACCATCTTGTGGAGGGGGAGCTGGTGTTTAACTGTGGCGTCCTTTGTGCCAGACCTGGGAAGAAGAGGAGGGAGAGTAAGGAGAGGAGAAGGATTTGCTCAGGAGAAGAGAAGTGGAAGTTGGAGGGGAAGGAGGTCCTGTGAGAGGAGAGGGTGTGGCCAGGTTCCCCTGACCTGTGTCTCAGGTGCCACAGTCTTCTTTCTAGGTGGACAAGAAAGGCAGCGTCTAATATGGATTCTCACACTGGTACTCTTCTTGGGCCTAACTCGGAAGTAAGACAGTGTTTGGTTTGCCCTTCCTCTTGTTCACGGCTAGGAGTGAGTTCAGCTTGTGGCTGCTTTTTACTACATGATGTGGTGAGTGAGTAGGTCCGTGTTTATTAGAGCTGTGCCACAGGGAGTGAAACTGGGGGCCGTCCAGTTCCACTGGGCCTGGAGGAGCGCAGGCAGGGGGGCAGGGATCCCCTGTGGACGAGGACATGGAGAAGGGCATCCTCGCTTCGTTGTCACAGGTCATCATCCTTTCCTGCCAAACTTCTGAAGTTCCGGAATGTTCTGTGTCTGTCTTTTGTGATTTCAGAGAATAGAAACTCCCTTTTATGGACAAGAACAGGTTTGAGGTTGATCCTGTTTCAAGGTTGTGATCCAGAGGCAACTTCTGAGTTTGCACTTTTATCACAGATTTGGCAGAGATTGAGAACTGTGATCTAAAACCACTTGTAACTTTTCTTCGTTTCTTAGGTTTCTGGTCAGAATTGGAATATTGCACTTTTTTTTTCGTGGACTTCAGTAGCTTTCTGCTTCATTCCTGTGGTGTTTGCAATGTTGAAGGCAAGGGGGTACTTGACTTCTTATAAAATTTGTAGTCCAGGGAAATTACTTAATTGTTTTCCCTCATGTTCATTTCATCATATCTTAAAGATATCATCAGTAGGAGTTTTGGATTTTCCTTCAGGTGTAGAATTCAGGCCAAGTTGTTTGCAGGCTTAGTTTACCTAGCGTTGTATCTTAGTACATACTCCTACACCCTTTATTTGTTTACTGAACTGAATTTAATTGGAAAGCTTTTTCTTCCTCAGAAAAGTGTGATGAAGACTACGTGGGGCGTGCTGGACCCTCCCGTGGGGAACACCCGGTTGAATGTGATTAGGTTGATATCCAGCCTCCTCCAAACAAATACCAGCAGTATCAACGGGGACCTTATGGAGCTGAATAGCATTGGGGTCATATTGGTACGATATCCCCTGAAAGATGTCTTAATTTGCCCTTGATACTTTATGGATACATAACTGAAGGTAGAACCTCATAAATTTACAGTATGTGTCAATGACTTTCCTTGGTCCGAGTGTAAACAGTCTTTTATATAGTTTTCCCTTTGAGGTTATCATCAATTTTGAATGCTTTCAATTTTTCAGTAGTAATTTATTGTTGCCGTGCGTAAAGAACTGTATTAGAGAATTTGGAAGATGATTAAGACAGATGTTTCCCTTGAGAAGCTCAGTCTCGTATGGAGGATAGAGTGAGTGTAATCACCCTCTTCAGGGGATTGTATTAGCAATAAACGACTGGGGCTTACAGCATTATTTTCTCTTCATAATTAGCCAAGGGACAAGCTTTGATCTTCTTTCCACTGAGATAGTATACGAGGTCTCTGACACTGTCTTGATTTGAGTCTAAAAGACTGTTTCAATTTAGTGTGAGACTATCTTTTGATTTAGTCTGCTTCAGTGGAAGCAGAAGGGAATGTAAGGGAAAAAGAAGAGCCCAGGAATTACCTGGACTTCCCTGACCCCTGAGTTCCCCAGCTCCAAGGCCTGTGTTTGGGATCCATGGGCCTGGCCCCGGGGCCTCTGCTTGCTCTGTCCTGCCTCTGCACAGCACAGATGGGTTCCCAGGACCCACACTGTACACCCGCTGGCCACACTGTACACTGGGAGGAACTTGGCGTGTGTTTCAAAGGAGAGTCTGGGTGTTTGCTCTTTACATGAAAGGTATTGAATGTACACTTCATATACATTTCTCATGTGATCCTAGGTATAAAACTTCATATACATTTCTCATGTGATCCTGGGCATGATTTTTCAGATCATGCCCAGATAGGGGATACATTCCATGGCTAGTAAGTGGTGGAGCAGGATTTGAATTCACATCCAGTTTCAAACCCATGCATGCTCTATCAACCATTCCCTTTGTTCTTCCTAGTGTCACTGAGATAGATACTTCAGTTGTTTTTCAGCTTTGTGTTGAATGACATAGCAGTAGAAGGCGTAGAGAGCAGGAACATTTGGAGAAAGATGAGACGCTACAGGATTGCAGTTTCCTTGCCAGCATAACCCTTGCCCTCTGGGGACATAGTTTTTGCCCTACCCTCTGACAGGGTTATAACTTCCTAATCCTGTCTCTGGGCGTCTCACTGAAGTCATCAATCACTAGTCTTTCATCTTCCTAGTAGTAAGTTTACAGCCATTGTTAATTCATTCTGTTGTTAATCTTAGAGCTTCTTTTGAGTGATTAATATGATAAAACTCCTAAGTGGATCATTAATCATTATCTTTTCATTTTGAGATTAGATAACCAAGACTCAGCGATATCCTGAATACATACTTGATGCATTTGTGCTTTTTGGAATTGTCTTTTTTTGTGTGTGTGCTACTGTTACCTTTTCAGGTAATCTGGAAAACCTTGCACCTCCAGGAGTTCCGCACGTCACCACCTCTCATACCTTTCTTATTTTGCTCTATCCACTGATAGTTCTATGAGTTTTGAATGCCCGAGTGGTTATTTTTTTTAAGGTGTGAGCACCTCAAAATTGGAGACCGTGTTTTTGTCTGTCTCCCAGGTTGCACCTAGCACTGTGTGCTGCTCAGAAGTCATCAGTAAGCATTTGTTGAGGCAAAATGAAATTCTCATAAATTTCTTTGGAAATTTACTGAACTCTTAATATCTGTATCAGTCACGTTGAAAACAAAAAGACACTCTCTTTCTGTCTGAGAAATTTATTATTGTCTTTATGTGTTTATTGTTGGTCTCTGTTAGTTTCCATGCAAATTCTGACATGTTAAATGAGCAAATACCATGCTATTTAGTCTATGAAGGCATTTTAAACTGCATTTAAAATAAAATGTGTTCCTTTTAATTTGTCCTATTGTACTAGGAACACATCATTTTCACTTTATTAATTCATTATTTGGTGAATGTGTTGCGGTAGTGGCTTAAACATGGAGGAGACTGAATAAAAGAAAGCATTATTTTTCTTTTTTTTGTAGGACATGTTCTTCAAATACACATGGAATAACTTTTTACACACACAAGTGGAAATCTGTATTGCACTGATTCTTGCAAGTCCTTTTGAAAACACAGAAAATAGCACAATTACTGATCAAGACTCCACTGGTGACAATTTGTTATTGAAACATGTAAGCTTACTTGGTGTCTTTTTTTCTGCCACTCCTGGTTATAGCATTTTTCTGCTTAAGGTGTGAAGTGAATTGAGGTTTAAGGGTGGGAGGTTAGATTTCAGAGTCTGAATATTTAACTTGTAATGGTACTTTTAACCAGTGATTCTGTAAATCATATCCCGGACAATTAACCATTACATGAACTTTAAAAAAAAAAAAAAGGCTAAGTGGCTTGCTTATTTGGGAAAATTAATAAATTTGAAGGTTTAGAAATCTTTTGGAGATTAAAAGAACAATGCAAATTTAAATACTGCAGAAAACATTTGAACCAATTATTTGGCTTGCCAGAGTTTTAATTTCTTGTGCTGAATATATGTCTGAAAGTTGGGAGAAGTGAGTTCTTATGCAGTGTCGAGGAAGCCTCTTCTGGGGGTCTGTTTTCTTTTGTTAAATATGAGGTGATTTTACTAAGTCAGTCTTCAGGTTTCTTCTTGCTCTGAAGTTCTGTGATTGTGTGACATTCTCTAGCTCATACTGGGTTACGCCCAAACCTTGAAGATGGGAAAGGCTAACCTGGAGTAACCAAGTAGATGGGGAAGACAAATGACATTTGAATAAGACTGGCTGTGCACATTCGATAATGCAGCCCACAGCACTGGTCATTGGCGTGCGGAAGTTTGGCAAGCCACACCTATTTTTAATACGAATGCAGTAATGTTAGCTCATAGAGAAGTAAGTGTTGCTCGCATTTAAAATGTACAAGTATTGCTGTGGATTGTGAGTTAAATTTTTGCCAAGGCATAATTTTCTTTATTCCATTTCAGAGTAAAACCTGTCTTTTGCTTTAGGTCAGCTGCTCACTGGTAGCAGTACTTGAAATATATTATTTCCTCGTAGGTTCACTGCTAAAGGCATAGATCCTGTCTTGAATCCCTGTAGTGTTCTGGGGCCCTTGAGTAAATTTATTTTCACGGTGCATCTGATTTAGCCAGTAATTCACAGCTGTATTAGGCTTGCTGGGTTATATGTATAAAGTGATAGGTATCACTTTTCTGTTTAACTAGAGTTCTGTTTCACTTTAAAAATTTGACACTTTGACATTTATGTCAATGTTAAACTGGAACGTTCCTTTTTATTCAGCTCTTTCAAAAATGTCAATTGATAGAACGAATACTTGACGCCTGGGAAATGAACGAGAAGAAACAGTAAGTAAATTGTTTTCTGATAGGAGTTCAGTTTGATTTTTAATTTGAAGAAAATGTACTCCCTTGCCCTAGACAGGGAACAATGAATATAATAATTACATGGTACAGGCCACTTTACAGTTACAAATGGTTCTCTTGGGACTTCCAGATTATTTAATTGTAACAGATATTTTTCTAGTAATTTACTTTTAGATCCCCCTGTCTTTCTACCTGTCTTGAAAGAACAGGGGTTGGGAGTACTCCCCACCTTTGTTGCTGCCTTTGCAACTTCTTGGTCCTTTCTGAATGGCTGTTTTTCTGAGAATAATGGGGAGTTGAAGGGAAAGAATTACAAAGTAAAGTCCTCCTTAATTAGCACCTTTGTCCTTGTTACCCGGGTTCTCATGGAAGAAAAGAGTCACTTTGTGCTTGGAGCTAGAGGGAGGGTAAAATTGCTTAGTATTTCCTTTTTTAGAAAATTTCCGTTAGCTGATTGGCAAGATTACTTGAAGTATTAGTTGCTGCGTGTGAGTAGCTTTGTTACACAGAGTTTTTTTCCCTAGTGGTTTTGTCTGAAACAGGCATTCCTCTCTAATGCCCTGGGAGCTTTTATGCCATCCCATAGATTCTGAAGCAGGTGGGTATGTTTGGGAAACACTCTCAAGGTATACTTCTTGTGTTTGTTTTTAAGTCAGGTTTATTGAAGTATACATTTTTGGGTATACATTTCTAGGAATTCTGACAAATGCATTCAGTCATGTAACCATCACAGACAAGACACAGAACGTTTCCATCACCCCATAAAGTTGTCACATGCCCCTTTATAGTCTAACCTTTCTCAGGATCTCCCTGCTCTGTGTCTCTGTTCAGATGTCTCTTGCAGTGCCCAGGAGAGCTAGGTAACTCACGGGAGCTGCCTGCTTTGTTTTCTGGGGGTTGGTTTTTAAAAATTGCTTACTAAACACCGATAGGGCTTTGCTTTGACTCTGGGTGGTGAAAGGTGGCGTGTAGGTTGAGGGTGGCAGGGGTTCAGTCTTGGTGGACCTCAGATACTTTCCTCCAAATGGAGCTCCTTTGGGGTGCTGTCTGTGGCCAGAGTGGCGTCTCTGGTTATGTGTCTGCCCCATCTTAGCCTTCCTTGACCCCCTTCCTCTCTGCTTCCTCGTCTCGCCAGTGCTGAGGTGTCCTGTGTGCTCTACTTCCCGCAAGCTCCATCCTCTGAAGGCCTGGCTAATAATATTCCTCCCCTCTTGGGGAGTCCTGAAAGAGCTTTTTAAGGTTTCCTTGAACAGGAAGGCTAAAGAAAATTTGGAGCCTTGGGCCAAAAAACTTGGAGATGGGTGTTTGTTTTCCCTTGTGAGGGTTTGAGGGAATACCAGAGTTTCTGACTAAGAATTTGCCCAGAAGGAACACTCCGGTCGTGGGATCTTACTGTGAAACTGAAAGAGGCTCATAGCAGTTCAGCTAAGGTCAACCTTATGCCTTCAGACCCTTAGGTATTCCCAGGCCCTCTACTAAGCTTATTAGCAGATATTTCATTTTCCAGGCAAGCCTACAAGCACAGTATGGTTTTTCTTAGTGACTCCTGAAAGATTCTCCCTTGAAGCAAAGAGCTCTTCGGTTTGTTTCCTCCTGTCTGCAATCAAAAGTCTTTTGTTTCATAGAATTTAAAGACTTGACACTTTGTAAATATTCGGGCGGAGAAATCACTGTGATGTGAAAAGTTTGTCTAAATGTAAAGATGGGTCATAGTTGTGAAGATTGGACTCTTAAGTGGGGAAGGGGTGAGGAGTAATGTGAATGTCTGTGTCCAAGTGGGAAGTGGGCCAGATACAAGTTGACTACCTCTCATCTTGGCCAAGTCCTCAAATCAGCTAATATTTTAACTTGAGAAATGCCATTGGTAGATAACTATCTCGATGATTGATTGATACAATTAAAATTTGATATCTTAGCAAAATGAACCAGCAGAATTCTCACCTCATTTCCCTACAGTCTGTTTAAAGTCTGAAAAATAGTTTCACAGAAAGATAGGAAGGAAAGTTACAGAATCATTAGGCATCAGTGAATGTTTGGGGTTTTGTTTTTAAAGATACTGTGTTACTGAGGATGGTTGGTTTGAGTCTTTGAACAGAGTTTGTCCTGTTGACTGAGGCTACAATGTAGTCTTTTGAGTAGACAGTTGCTGCCACACTCCCACCCCCTACCCCTACCCCAACCTGGTTATATTACGTACCCTCTTCTTCCGCCTGTTCTTGTCTTTAGTGCCTCAGTTTTTAGAATGATTGCTTAAATCCACTGTACTTACCAAGCTGTTCATCACTCCATCCTCTCAGGAGTCTGAATATTTGTCCTTTACCCCTGGTAGAGCCGAAGGAGGAAGACGGCATGGCTACATGGGACACCTGACAAGGATAGCCAACTGCATCGTGCACAGCACTGATAAGGGCCCCAACAGCGCCTTAGTACAGCAGCTCATCAAAGGTAATGGGTTTATGGAATTTTCATTACATTTTTATTGGATTGGAGAAAGGATTTAGGGGTAAAATGGAAATATTCATAGCCTTTTAAATAGCTGTCTGAAGAGTTTCCTTATATTATCTCGAGATTTGAATGAGGCTCTTGAGAAGGTGTTTGAACAATATAGATTTTTGCTGTATCTCTGTTCTTAGTTCTGCAGTCCTTTTATTAAGTATTGGCAGGCTCAGCGGGTAACTAGTTACCCACTTTCATTCTCTAAGGGTATTGCTCACTAAACCGTTCCTTTGAGCTTGAAGTACTCGTAGGCTGACAGTTGAGCCACTTGAGCTACAATTACTCTTGCTTTTTATTTTCTTCTGAAGTCCCCTACATAGCCTATGGATTGAGTTCCTTTAATGGGCATATTAAAGCATTTAACAGCATTTTTTCCATCTCTCTATTACTAAAATGAACAATATTAGCCAATATCCTAAAGGACTCTTTCTGCACTAGCATTTGAATTTAATCAGCCCAAGGTTACTTGGAAGAAACCGTATTGATGCCTTTTACACTGGCACCAAGGCCTTGAGTCCATCTCCTCCCAAATGAGAGCATCAAGAACTCTGTGTGCTCCAGGTTTGGTACCAGTGGGATTACTAGTCCTGTGACTTACTCTGAAGGCAAAACATCTTCAACCTCTGTGGTACAACATTCGTTCAGTTATTAACTTGCTGAAAATCATCTCTCAGTCTATCCTACTATTTCTCTCTTAAGAATGTTTGTGTTCAAGAGGCTGTTACCTATTGAATGTGCACGAAAAGTATAGTTGTGGCCCAGTGATGGACAAATTGGGGCTAGCGCACCTGTAATTTTGCTTCTTGAGCGAGATGTTAGCCAGATCATCACACTTTATGTCCTTTGCTGTGCACGTAAATTGGCCATGTGTATGATTTTTTGTTTTTAGATCAGTCTTCGTTTTATGGAAGTTGCTTGCCTTTGTAAGAGTGTGTACACACGTGTGTTTAAGCCATAATTGTCAGATGACAGACAGCCTTAGTGAGGCCTCCAAGATTACAGCTATAGTTGCATTTTCTCAGAAAAGTATTTGTGTATCCTTTTCTTTACAGTTTCTGTAGAAGGTAGCTTTCACTATTGCATACGGATCCATATGTTGGCCTATGACACAAACATTTAGGAAACATTATCTTTGAGCAATTTGAGAAGCCAAACTGGGTTCCATGGGACATTCATTGGCCAGATGCCAGTCAGTTTCTCAAGAAAGTGCGCAAGAGCTGACATTTGCAGTGTTTCCTAAACTCACACGACCATGAAGCAAAACTGCTTTTACCCCCACCTTAAAGACCGTTATCTTTACAGGGAACTTATCAGAAACATATTTTCCAGGTTAAGTTTTTAGCAAAAGGTCTTAAAAAACTTGTTGAATTCAAAGAACTGCTTAGGGCTCTTAGCATCAAGCATAGACCGTGGTGGGGAGGGGGTTCCTGAAAAGTTCTCGGGGTTCAGACTGAGCATGGCTATACCCCGTCCCTCCGAGAGCTCAGCCTGCAGGGATTGCTTGCCTTTGAGGAACCACGTGGGTGGTGCCCTCTCGAGTTACCTGTTTATTTGTCTGTGTGCAAGTCACTGTAGTGATAATGTTTTTTTCCTTTTCTCCCTCTGAAGATCTTCCAGACGAAGTCAGGGAGCGATGGGAGACGTTCTGCACAAGCTCCTTAGGAGAAACTAACAAGAGGAACACGGTAGATCTAGTAGGTTCTACAAGGTTACATTTCTGTGATTTCAGTGCTCTTGGCCTTTGCCCGTCTATTCAGAAAGATGTGAGACATCTTCCACTTGTCCTGATAATTGTAGGCCAAGCTCATGTTTCTTACCAGTAAAAGAGGTCAGTGCCCACCGTACTCTTGCTAATTTGTCTAGTCAACTTCCAATTCCTGCTTAGGATGACGTAAGGGTACAAAGAAGCTACTCATACCTGCTCCCACTGTACTCGGTTTCCACCTCCCTCAGTGCCCTGCTCCCCAAGCACCTCAACAGAGCAGCCTCTAGCCTTCCTTTTACTGTGTTGGGTTTGTTGCCTTATGCCTAAATAACCCCGGGTGGTTAGAAAACCTAAGTATTCGATATTTTCTAACGTTACTGAGTTGAGTTGACCCTCATTAAAGTCATTCCCAGTGGGGGAAAATTTTATAGATGACTTTGAAAACCCCAGCTTTAATAGATTGGTACTTTGAGCCAGGGAATAATGGCATTGATAATATTCTTAAAAATTATATTGGACTTTGGAATGTAGTCTTTGTTTTCTTTAATACGTTAAGTTTTAAGGTAAGTATTGCTTTTGCTTTTCAAGGAAAAGCATTTCCTTTTGCAAGCACATGCCAGCTGATAGTTGAGGTGGTGGCCTTGACTCTACATGGAAGTAGGTGTGTCAGGCATTTAATTCTGTATTTGAAATTCAGCAGCCGCAGTCTTGCATTTCTAATATACAGTAACGCCTCGATTGTTAGGCAGCCTTATCTGCTCAGAGCAGAGCCTAGAAATGGGGTGGGGGTGGTGCTGCAGAGCGGTCACTAGTCATCCTGCGTCATCCGCCCGAAGGGCCCGTTGCCTCCTGCTTTGCAGATTGTCTAACAAGTTTGGTTATCTTTTTCCAGACTCTTGACAGGTTGGTGGCTTGTTCAGGTGGATATAGTGAGAGAATTATTAGGTATTAGGAGTTGGAAGAAATATGAAGTTGAGAGAGAACTGTAAAAAGGGAGCTGTGTAGGGACATTTAGTTAAAATAGATTTGGTGGCCCTTATTGTCGCAGGGTGTCACAGCCCAACAGAGGAAATGGCATTCACTTTGACAGCCCTGAGGGATCAAGGAAGGGTTAAGTAACTTTTAATGAATGTATTACCCACTGTACATTGTTTCTTTCCCCCCAGTCAAATTGGTTAAAATTCTGGATCATCAGGGTCTTATTGTAGGGTGAAATTGTTCTCCCATACTGTTAAATTGAACCTTTTAATTTTAGAGGTTCCCAGATTGATTCCTTGTTAAGAATGCAGGAAATGTGGTCTCCTTGAAGGGGATTTTTGCCTTGTTTCTTATTCGTAAAGAAATAGGAGTATTAATTCTGATCTTGCTTGGGAAACTTCGTCAAAAATTGCCTTTTGGGGCTTCCCTGGTGGCGCAGTCGTTGAGAATCTGCCTGCTAATGCAGGGGACACGGGTTCAGGCCCTGGTCTGGGAGGATCCCACATGCCACGGAGCAACTGGGCCTGTGAGCCACAACTACTGAGCCTGCGCGTGCTCCTCAACAAGAGAGGCCGCGATAGTGAGGGGCCAGCGTACCGTGATGAAGAGTGGCCCCCACTTGCCACAACTAGAGAAAGCCCTCGCGCAGAAACGAAGACCCAACGCAGCCAAAAATAAATTAATTAATTAAAAAAAATAGTTAAAGCTTTAAAAAAAATTGCCTTTTGATTGACTTCAGAGGTAGAAGTAAAGAATGTCCAGTTAAACTTGTTGTTATCAAGATTTTTTTAAAAAGTTATCTTTGGTAATTCAAGCAGATTTCTTTTGTGAGTAGTTTAAATATTTATAAAGATGGACTTCCATTGCAGTTCGGGTAGCACTCAGCTACTTTGCACGATGCCGTCAGTTATCTAGTCTGTGACTGTGTGTAATGTCATGTATGTCCACACAGAGGAGCGTGGGCTTGCCCTGCATAATTAGTGCACAGCCCTTTTGGGTCAGACACATCTAGACATACATTTACACCTGTGTTGAAGGAAAAAATCATCACGGGCTCCACCTATCACGCTGATTGAAGCTCAGTTCTCCTTTGCCTATTGCACTTTCTGCCGTAATACTTGGACTACATAGATAATCTACAGTAAAACAAAAGGAGGAGAAGTTCGCTTATATAGCAAAAGTGGTAAGATATATAGAGCCCTGTTAGCATTGCTCATATCCTTTGTTGACTTAGCCCCACTCTGTGCTTTTGTTGTTTCTTGAGACTTTTGTGTTGATCTCTCAGGAGCTCTTCACTTCCTTGGTTTCAAATACACAGTACTAAAATACTACCTCTACTTAGTCTTAAGTCCTTCTAATAGGGAATTTTGCTTTGTAGTATTTTTAGGGATATGGGTATTCCAAGTTTTAAGGATCCTTATACATTAATCCTGGGCCACCAAGGAGAGTTGAACTGTAGCCTCCAGGCTCTTCATTTTCTGCCCAGAATGTTTCAGGCTATATCCCACATGTTCCAGGGAAAATGTGCTGTTGTGAATATTATTATAAACACAGTTTGGTACGTGCAGTGGGTGTTGCCCTTGCAAAAATATCATACAGAAATGTCATGCCCACTAAGTCGTGTAGTGCAAAGTCCAAATAAAAGCATTCCCTTCTAATTGCTTCAGGCATACTCATCACTGAAATTGGCAGTTAAATAATACATTGCTTATTCCCTACCTCCCTCCCCAAATAGATAGATTAGATACACTGCCCTGACTTAGTTGGTTTTAGGATGATGGCTCAGATACCTCTCTGGGAATTATTTCAGGTATATTCATAGGACTTGGGTCAACTAGTAGTTCAGCACCAAATGCTTGAGTTAGTGCATTGTTAGGTTGCCCTGGCCTGTTCTTTATTTTCTAGCCACAGCCAGGATTCGTTTGTTTATACAGCAAACACTCACCTATTCTACTGGCTGTGGGCCTGAGGACTTGCTCGGTTATGTAGGATAAGCTGTGCCAGCCCCAGGCTCCTGCCATCTTCTAGGGCAACATCTGTCTTCCAGCTCCTATCACTTCTAGGGCAACATTTGAATTACCTTCTCTCTGAGATCTTTGAAGTACTTTAATCTTCTGACCCCGTCATGCCAAAGTATATGAACAAGAGATTCATATACTGCTTATGTTTTTATGTTGGGAGTTTATCATGAGTAAAATTTGGTGTTTTAATTATATCCAGAGGCCGCATTGTTTTGACTAAGCCCCCAAACTGTAAAAATTGGTAAGGATTTAGATACAGGAAATTTAGATAACGTAGGCAATGTTTCTGTACTGACTTTGGAAGATTGAGTTTCTTTCATTCTCGGCCTGCCTCTCCAAGGGTGAGGATCTTTTTTTTAAGGTTGAGGTAGTTTATGAGATAGTTTATGGAGGTTGTGTAGAGTAATACAAACATGCATGTATGGATTGCCTGGAGATCCAGCAGGTCAAGGTGGAACATCTGAGGGTTTGCATTTCTAACCATCCCCAGGTCATGTAAGTGCTGGGGGTCCACAGTGGGACCACGTGCAGCAAGGAGCAAGTGTCTGTAGCTTCCACTTTTCACTGGAGGTTACCAGTTATCAGGTTACCAGTTATCAAGTCATACTTAGGATTCTCCTAGCAACCTAATCAGCCAAGATGAAGAAAACTCTTATTTGCTTTTTCTTTTAAAGACAGTTAATAAAACTGAAATTTTATTATGAAAGAAGGTAACAACTCAAAAGCTTTTTTTTCACTGCAGCTTCAAGAGTATAGTTTACTTAGAATGCATCTTGCTTGGCAAGAATGTTCTTATGTACTTGTTACTTTTTTTAAAGTTATGATTCTGTATTCTCATTTAGTGATTTACTAGTATTCGTGAAATATTTGAGGGGCTGCTGTGTGCTGGACACTGTGGATATTGCACTAAACAAGATTGGCAAAAATCCGTGCCTCAGTGGAGATGGATAAACAGATGGAGGGTAAACTAGGGGGAGGGAGTCGGGGAGTGTTTTGGGCAGATGTGCAATTTAGAATTAGGTGGTCTAGGAAGACGCCATGGAGAACGTTTGTGTAGAGGCTGGAGGGAAGTGGGGCAGGAAGAGCGAGTGCAGAGACCGGCACAGCGCCCGCGTGGCTGTATCAGAGCGGGCCAGGGAGAGAATGGGAGGAGAGATTTAGAGGTTCTGCGGGCCAGATCTCATGCAGCTTCACGGCAGGCTCCTGGGGTTGTGATCTTAGTGAGATGAAACCGTTAGGTTTGGAACTAAATAAAAAGTGACACGATTTGATGTCAGTGATTTAAAATCCTGTAATGATTTAAAAGATCATTGTGGCTGCTGGATTGAGTATAGACTATAGTGGGACAAAAGGTCGAGGCAGGGACACTGGTTAGATGCCTAATATAGTGTTAATCCAGACGAGGGAGAAACTTTCCACTAAGGAGGTGATAATAGACTTGATGAGAAGTGATGGGATTTTAGGTTCCATTTTGACAGTAGAATGGACAGATGTGGGTGAGACAGAAGAAACAAGATGACTAAGATTTTAGCTGGAAGAAGAAGAATGAAAGAGGCATTTCCTGAGCTGAAGATGCCTCAGAAGGGGTGTGTTTTGGAAGCTTAGATCAGGGACTGAGATGAACAAGTTTTCCCCTGTAGGTAAATTAAACGATCTTTTAGCTCATTTTATTAATAACGATTTCAGACTGGGTATGGTGTAGGTAGGATCAGAGTCCCCACATCTTTTAAAAACATAATTGAGAAGGTGTGCAGGCATTGTGTTATTATTAATAATAACTTGGTAAAACAGTAGTTTCTTTTTGGAGGAAAAAATTAATTGCTTTGAGGATACAAGTTAAGGAGAATATATAAGGGGGTCACAGTGTCTGGCACATAGTAGTTGCTCAACAAAAGCTAGTTGCTTATTTTAATTAATGACCTGATAAAATCTTATTTTGTAGCAAAAAGTATGAATGAGGACACATTATATCCTTTTTGAACTTAAACAA